AGGCCTGACAGAACGCCACAGCTGCAGGAAGCCAGAAAACCCACTCCTCTTGCCAGGATGTCGCTCTGCTGTCCTTGCCCCACCATTACCAAACTATCCATAACTGAGCTAAACAGCTTTTTATTCTGCAACTCCAGGAAAAGGGCCCAAGGGCACATCAACCCAGACTTCACAGCTCTGTGTGCATGTGCCGTCATTATTTTCTAGCCATATATAATTCAGCACCATCCCCTCACACCTTTGCACAGCTTGCTTGTCCACAGGGAAACTGTGTCAGTGTCCCTGAATAAATCCTCTGATCAGTCTGCTGCCAAGTCTAGCTCTGGTTTTTACCTAAACTTTATTTTTTCTGTCTTTCTAAATCTAACAGCATCCACCACAGTGTGTTGACCACAGCATTCACTACATCTACTACAACATCCATCACAGTGATTCCACCACAGTATCCTCTACATCTACTATAACAACAACTACATCTACTACAGCATGTTCACCACAGTGCCTGCCACATTACTATAGCATCTGCTGTGCCCACTACAGCACCTACCACAGTTTGTCCACCACAGTGCCTGTTACATCAACTACACAATCCACTAAGTTGGCTGCATAAAGCGCCCGTTAGATCTACCACAGCATCCACAACCAGGTCTCCACCATGGTATCACTACATCCACTACAGCATCCACCAGTGTGTCCACCACACTGCCTGCTACATCTACTCCTATACCCACCATAGTGTGTCCACCACAGAGTCTATTACATCTACTACAGCATCTGTCAGAGTATCCATCTTAGTACCCACTGTTGCCACTATAGTCATCAATCCAGTGTGTCCACCACAGCATTCATTCTATCCACTACAGTGTGCCTTCTACAGTATCTACTACGTCCATTACAGAGCCCATAAGTGACTCACTACATCATCCTTTATATTCACCATAGTAGATGCACCACAGCATCCATCGTATCCACTGGAGTGTGTCCACCTCAATACCTGATATATTCACTGTAGTATCCTGTTCACTGGACCTGCCACAATACCATCCAGACAGACTGGATGTAGGCAAGCTGTATCATCTCAAAGTCTGCCCCTGGTGATGTACTTCCTCCAGCATGGCTACACTTCCATGACCCTCCCCAAACAGTGTCATCAACTGATCAAGTGTTCAAATACTTGGAGTCTATGAGGGACATTCTCATTCAAACCTCCTGTTGGGTGGGTGTGTCCCCTGATGAAACTAGAGCTGACTCCCTAAAAACGGATGCTGAGAAACTCTGAGCACACTGGGAAAAAGGGGAGGCGCAGTCAATATTTTGGAATGGAGCACGCAGATCCACTGATGGCGCAGATCTCAAGTATGGGAGAGAAAGAGCCCACAAGAGTTCATGTCTTTGTAAGTGACCCTCTAACCTTTGTTGGCAAGCCCAAATAAATATTCCTATTCCCAAAACTGTAACTTAAGAGGAACATCATGATGGTTTAGTTAGAACCACACTCTCTGGATCCCAGAGAATGCACAGGGGTCTCTCAAGGGAAAATTTGGCATGACAACACCACAGATGGCAGCACCAGAATATTGAGGAGTATTGTGTAATACAGGAAGAAATCTAAGGCACCTCATATCTTTCTCACTCTGGATATAAACCACATGAGTCTGAGGAATGTAGAGACAAGCTATACATTCTCTCCGTGTCTTCAAAGACACATGGGAACCCACACTGTGAAAGGGCCTTGTGGATGTGAGAAGCGAGCAAACGCTCACTCATATTTCAACAGGGTTTCAGACCAGTCCAGGAACAAAACTGAGAAGTCTCTGTCTCACCTGGATCAGTTAGGATGGGAGTGCCATAATTCCCAATAGGGACTATAGGCTTACCAGCTGGAAGCAGTTACTAAAGGTGAGCTCTCCATAAAATGTGAGGGATTGTATTAACTTCTTCTCTATTGCTGTGATAAAGCACCATGATCAAAATCAACTCATAGGAGAAATTTTATTTTGATTTTTGGTTCCAGAGAGAACCATAATGGTGGGGAAGGCATGACATGGTGGCAGGAGCAGGAAGTTGGCTGATGACATTTTTCATTCATATGCAAAAAGCAGAGAGAAAGAACAGGAAGTGGGGCCAGACTATAAAACCTCATAGCTTATTCCCCAGTGATGTTCTTCCTCCAGCAAGGCTCTACACCCTAAAGGTTCCATAACCTCTCCAGACAGCACCACCAACTGGGGATCAAATGTTCAAATACATGAGCCTGTAGGGAACATTTCTTATTCAAATCACCACAGGGATCATCTCTATTAGGAGGTAATGAGGACTCCTGGTGTCAGGATAATTTAACTCCAGAACCCAGCAACCAAGAAAGGCCATCAATTGGACTCCCATGGGCTATCTCAAAGTTATACAAACTCTTCCCAGCAGGCCTAGAGAGATGGCTCAGCAGTTAAGAGCACTGATGACTCTTGCGGCAGACCCAGGTTGGGTTCCCAGCCTCCACATGGCAGCTCACAACAGTCTGTTACTCCAGTTCCAGGGGATCCTATGCTCTTTTGGCTTCCACAGGCATTGCATGTGTGTGATGCACTTACATGCAGGCAGGCAAAACACTCAGATAAAATAAAAATAACTCAAATTAAAAAAATAAAAACTTCTAGCAAAACAAAACAAAAACAAAAACATGACAGTAACAATAAAAACTGCCAAGAGATAGGTCTACCCCTTTAGAAAACTCCTGCTCTCCATTTGTTACACACACACACACACACACACACACACACTAAAAACGGCTCTTGTGACACGTTTGCTCAAGCCCACTCCTGTAAAATGTATTCTATACTGCTATGCTCACTTTCCAACAAATCAATACTTTTAGTATTTTTAAAAAGTCACATAAAATTTCAAAATGCAGAGAATATGTGACCATGGAAATCCTAGCCCAAATTAATACATCTAAAATGCAACTCGTACATCTAAAGCTCAAAGAACATCATGGAAGGGGCAGGGGATTTTAAGAGCCACAGGACCAAGACACCTGCCAGTAGACAGTGTCTTCTAGACACGGCAGAGAAGCTGCACCCATGAAATCTCAATATGATACCTAAAGAAGTCCTGCATGATGACATCACCAGCTGACATGCCAACATGGATTTCACAAGATCCGCCTCTAGATGAAGAGCTACAGATAATCAATGCCTACTGAGAGGGGGAATCAGTCCTCTTAGGAACTAGCTCCCTGATAGGTTGTCTGTAAGGTACTAAATCCCTAAAAAGTAAGGGTCACTGAGAAATAATGAAGATAGCACATTTCCTACTTCTTGGTCTCTTATTTTTCATTACAACAGGGTCACTTCAACTGGCCTACTTAGAATCATGTAGACATGGACACCTCATCATTTGGAATCATAAGTCTTTTTGGCATCTACTACTTTAAGTTGACCAATCTAACATTGGAGGAGGGGAAGCCATTAAAACCCTTTAAACCCAGACCCTTCCCAGGGACACTGGATTTCAATTTCTGGGTTGCCTCTTCACTTGTGGAGAGCTTCATTTTTCTGTACGAATGTGTGTATATACTGTAATTCTTCATGTGTATGAATGGTATTCTTTATCTTTCAATAAAAGAGTTCCAGGCCAGATGGGGCTACAGGGAGACCCTGTCTCAAAAAGACCAATAAAAATAAATAAATAAATAAATAAATAAAATAAAATAAAATAAAAAATTGCTTGACTGTTTCTCTTTTCTTGTCTGAGATTTTTCCTGCCTTCCATCTAATTCTTCAACTGGCCGAGAAAACAAAGCTAACAATGCTCATAGACAGATAATGTGTCACCAGGAACATATCCAGTCCCTTAAAACATGTACACGTGGGCACTACTAAACGAACTCCTTAGGTTTAGATACACACACACACACACACACACACACACACACAATAATTAAAGGTTGGACTACTGAATGGGAGAGGGGGAATGTGGAAGGAACTGGAAGGGCAGAAAGAGGGATGGAAGTGATATGCAGTACTCATGAAATTCCCCCCAAAATTAAAAATCAGACATTGTGGCACATTCTTATAATCCCAGTGCCAGGGAGGCAGAGAAAAGCCAATCCTCGGGGCTTGCTGGTCAGCCAGACTAGCCTACTTAATGACCACCAAGCAAATGAGAGATCCTGCCCCCAAAAAACAAATTATGGGGCTGAGAGATGGTTCAGCAGTTAAGAGCACTGACTGCTCTTCCAGAGGGCCTGGATTCAGTTCCTAGCATCCATATTGTGGATAACAACAGCTTGTGACTCCAGTTCCAGGGTACCCAAATACCCTCATCTGGCCTCCTTGGGCACTGCATACATGGTACACTTGTTGTGACCCAGAAGATGGTCCTCTGACCCTGTGATGAGAAGCCACGCCCCTTCTCTCTTTCAGCCAATCGGTTGACCATAGCCACTTGAGGGGGAGGGGCTAAGGGTATAAAAGCTGGGAAAACCACGAGGCTGCCTCTCACCATTTTGTAAGGCTGTTCGGAAGCACAGGATTTATGGGTGTGGACTTTCGGCAACAGCCTTGAATTGGGAGGGGGGGCGCTGCTTGTCTGTAAGTAAACCCACACTCCAAGCTCAGTTAGCAAGTCCAATAAACTCGTTAAAATTCTTCAAACTGGGGTTTGGAGAATTTTTTTCCTCAGGTTGTCACAAGGACCATGGGAGGAGGGGATTGGCTGCCACATGCACCTCGCAGCAGTGAATTTGACTTACACTTACATACAGTCAAAACACACACAAAAAATGATTTTTTAAAAATCTTGTTTTCAAATGGACAGCACATGAGGGACACCATCTGAGGTTGTCCTCTGGTCCCCACACTCATGAAGACACATGTGCACCTCCCCCCACAAACACATACACACACACACAGCAACAATTTCCCAAGAACTTTCTCTTATATAGCAAATCTCAAAGCTGCAGTCCCACCCAGACCAACCTAGACAGTACACAAAAACAAAAATCATCTCAGATAATTTATTCAGAATTTTAATATAAACAAGTAATTATCCCATTTTTTACATGCAGAACAATTGCAGTTCGTAACCCTCCCCTCAAAAAAAAAAAAAGAGACATATTTTGTACATGATGCTACTTGACTCTTGTAGGAAAACATTGAAAAAATAATCATTGAGCGTCTGGTGGGTTTTGTGTTTCAGTTTTCTGCAGAGCTGTGGCACATTTGATCCTGCACTCCTGACATGCATGGCGGGGCCACCCAGGCACACAAAGGGGCAGGGAGCAACTTTGATGCAAAACATAAGGAGCAACAAGCCATTCTTGGACACGTGCATGGACACACACATGCATTTGAGGGCTGTTCCTTCTTTCCTGCTCAAATGAGACCAAGGGCTCCAGGTCAGTCCAGTTTTTAAGTTTTTTTGTTTGTTTTTTACTGGCCCACATCCAGATAAAATTTTGACAGATTGATTTTGGACTTTGGCTGGTATTTGAAGGTGACAGTGAGCTCAAATATTCATTGCTTATCTCCAATTCCTGGGGACTCCCTGCAGATGTATATGCCTTTAGCCACAGTCTCTTAAAAGACCATCATATTCTTTTGTACGCTCTAAATAGCAAATTGATAATCTGCTTTCCTATTTCCCAACCTCACCTCTGGTGTAAATTATTCTAAGGAACATTTTGGAAGGCATTCTGAAATGACACTATTCTAGGGGATTCATACAAAATCAGCATTCTGCTTTTTCTATGTTCAACAAAACCACAAGTTTTGAAAAGCCTATATTCTCAAGAATTCACCAAGTAGTATCCAAAACACATCTAACCACAAATGTGCACCTACCATTGAGTAAAAGAAGGGCCACTGTTGGAATGATGCCACATTCATTTGCTTACCAGGATGGCTGGTATGGGCCAGGCTCTCATGGTGATACTGTCCACTGGACCCAAAATAAAATTACAGCTCCTAGTCAATAAGTATGTTGTGTAGCAGACCATCTGCCCTACTGAGATCAAGTGGAAGATTTGTGTGTCTGTAGGGACCATCACACTCCACAGTCACAAGACGGGACACACAGACCCTCCTGTCAGTCTCCACATTTTCCTGAATTGTGCTTGGCCTATATAGAGAGATCCACCTGTGATCTTCCCTTCCACCTAGCTTCAAACAACAGGGAAACATCTAAAATGTCTCTGAGAATATGAACAATTCCTGGTATGTCATCAAACCAGAAGAAAACTGCATGGTTTTCACCATGGTAATAAAAAAAAAAGTTTTATAATGAGATATCTTCCAAAGCAAACAGCAGAAGTGTGGCTCTAACCTGGTTTGTTGCTTTTTCCCCCTATCACTTATTGCCACAAATTCTCAGGACAGATATGATTTTCTAGGACCCAAAATCTTAGCTTTCCCACAAAACTACCATCTTGTGAAGCCAAAATGAGTTTTATGACCCAACAGTTTCTTTCCCAGCAACAGTACATGTCAAAATTAAAGTGGCGAGATCATTTTTGGATAGGGTCATGCTACATTGGTACACACCTCTCCAGGCAAGGTGGAAAAGTCTTCAAGGAGAGTATCCAAAACTAAAACAAAAAATGGAGACTTGGTAAAACCAACAAGAGCTCTGCAGGCCCTGCCTTGATTTCCACATGAGGTCTCAAAACTGCACAAGTGTTAGCCTGAAGTCAACCAAACCCTAACATAGGGTTTCTATTTTATTTTGTTGCTAAAGATGTGTTCAGCACACTGATGGGTTGGGTTTAGGATTTCCCAAAATGCCCTCTTCCTGCTCAGAGGATGAAAGGAGACATGGCATTGTGTATTTGTACCCATGAACACACTCTACCCCAAGGCATCATCCACCTGAATAGAGTGAGAAAAAATAATGATCACAGAACTCAAGGCACCTTTGTACTCATTTCTGGAGGACTCAGTATGATAGGTGGGAATACTGGCTCACAGCCAAAGTGTGCCTTTACTTCAGCAGTAAATGGGACACCCACCTCTCACCAAAGGAACTTAGAAGACTCACTCATAGGATAAATCATAACCCACAACTTGGTTTGTGTGTGAGGAACGTGATTTTGACAGAAAGATTTATTTCACAGGAAGATTAAACTTGAGGAGGGTACTATCAGCAAAGAGAAAAAGAATTTATGCTTACATGAAGGCTATGATTTCTCCTTCCCCAACTCCCTCCCTCAAAATTCTTGCTAGTCTCTGGCAGTCAGAAACCACCTGGCACATATCTCCCGACTCAGTGCATAACCCAGTCAGAATTCCAAAGTCTCCACGATGTCTGTTATTGAACCACATCCTAACAAGACACTGAGGTAGACTGTGCTGAGAAAAAAAAATCATGACCCACACTCACCTGTTTTTATTTTTTCTTGATAAAAAAATTTACATGCACACCATTTTTTTACAAAAGTGATTTTCGAGTGATTTTTTTATATATTAAAATAAATACTTTTCCCCTTTAATATACGAAAACCTTGTTGAATTAGAAAAATGTGAAAATTGCTGCTAGTGTATTATAAGAGCACTACAAATTTACTATGAAAAGGGAAAAAACCAACAATATCTAGATCTACATGTGTCTTTGACAGACTCTCTTCTATTTACAAAATAATTTGGGTGAAAATGATTTCTGTAACTCTTGCTTCTTTCTGGTACCCAATCACCAAGCTCCCCAGTATTACTTTTGCATGCTGTAGTTTCTCAAATCATATATGATCAGCATTTGTGTTCTCAACCAAGAATTAAGAGGGTTTGGAGGTGGCTGTTGGGTCTTTATCTCACAACTCTTAAGAGGAAGAGAAGGAAGTTATCAGACATTTATGAGACAATGCATGTTGGGAAAACCTGTGGGGGAGGATTTTGATGAACTCAAGTTAATAGTTCACACACACACACACACACACACACACACACACACACACACAGAGACATCTCCCCCATCCCTTTTTTAAAACTTGAGCAGCTGTGGTTCTCTTTGCAAAGAGAAGAAACTGTGGATTCACACCCCTTTCAGAAGTCTTCCTGGTGGAAAGGTCTTTGATGCTTCTCCGTCAGACTTTAGTCTTTTAGGGACTGAAACTTCAGAAGCACCTGAGAAACAGACTCAGGTACCACGCCTGGCCTGAGTCGAGGTCCATGGGCACCAAGAGTAGCTTATGAGAGTTTAGTATCGAGAGGAGTCGGATGCCCAAAGGTGGAGACCAACAGGTATTCATGAGGGCATCTCCTTATATATTGCTTAGTGTTCTCAACGTCCATCCAGGTCATTGGTCTTTGGGATCTGATTCTATGTTTGTATGATAACTGAGAAGAGACATTGTAGAAGTGAGGTACACACAGGAAAACCCAAAGATCAACTTAGGTGTTCTCAAAGGCCAGCCCAGTCCCTGGTAACCAGTGTATCCAAGCAGGAAGCATCCAGTAGACCTTGCTACCAGAACCAGTCCATCCATCAAAAATCTAGTTGCCCACATACTCCACATGACCTCACAATACTGAAAAGGGCTAGCAGCTAATGTGGTACAATTCCCAGAAAAACCTAAGCTTCCAAGACCAAACACAGAGGCCACTCATGCTTTGCCCCATCTCTCCACACAGGCAGATATGCTCCCACTACCTCCCCCACCCCCAGGAAAATAATAACTTATAAGGCTCATGCCAGAGATTCCTTAAACATTAAATGTTACAAATATATTCTCAAAATTCTGTCATGAGTCCTTCTCATTTCTCTCTCTCTCCTCTCTCTCTCTCTCTCTCTCTGTGTGTGTCTGTGTGTGTGTGTGTGTGTGTGTGTGTGTGTGTCCCCATGCTAGCTTTGTTTGGTCTTCCAAAGATCCATGATCAATCTAGACCACACAGTCCTTCCTCTGTGTTTGGAATACTATCATCAAAGGGAAGGGAAAGAAGACACCTGAGCAACACTCTGGCATGACTGAGAAGAATCTGTCAAGGGCACAGACTCCCAATAAATATGGGGGAACAGGAGAGGCAGCATGAGAACACCCACTCCAAACTGCAAAAACTTCATGAGCCAGTTTCCGGAAGCATCAGTCTAGAGTGAATATCTTACACATGCACACACACCCCCACCCCACCCCCATGATCTGTAACCTGGACACACGCACGCACTAATGCACAGGTGTGCACATGTGCACACACATCAGGACTACACACCCTTTCCCAAAATAAAATATGAAAGCAGCAGCTATTGGTCAATTTGAGGAACTGATTTTGTGAATGAGAAAAAAACTAAAATAAAATACTCCTGGATGAGTGAAACCTTCCCAAAGCCTCACGGATAAAATTCTTCTAAAACAGGATTTTTTTCTCTTCTTTCTTCCTTTCTTCTTTCGTTCTCTTTTATTTTCTTTCAAACATTTATTCCACAAGTAAGTTTTATCTTTGACAACTGGAGCTCAGATACCACCAAAAAAGAAAAAAAAAGTTGTTAAAAGCAGGTGCTTTCTTTCAATCTATGAGGAAAAAAAGAGAGAAAATCCTGGTTTAAAACCACGGATGAAAAAAAAAAGTTGCGGGGGCAGCAGCCGTACAAAGTCCAACCCCTTTAAAAAGGTTCACAGTTAAATCTTCCAACGGCCAGCAGGGTTGGCAATCACACGAGTGTGGTTTTAGGTCAAAAGACAAACAGAAATGTATAGGAAAGATCTCTGAGCTCAGTTTCACACCGGCGTAGAGTCCTGATAATCCTGAGTTTCCTGGAGACGGTCACACTAGAGGAGAGTTTTAAAAAAGGAACCCTGTTCCCCTAACAGGCACTGTTAGGAAGGATTTGATCTAGGCAAAGTGAGGATGCGTCCATTCCTCTTGCCTCCGTTCATGTGGGTGTAGGGGATGTGGTCTTCATAGTTCCGTTTGATGCTGAGAGAGGACCCTCCCTCCCGGCCCCCAGCCTCCTCCCTCTGACAGCGAGAGGACCGATCCAACGGAACGTTCTCCATGTCCTCAAACTCCATCTCCAGCTCTTCGTTCTCAGGAGCCTTGTTCTCCTCGCTGTGGAAGAAGGAAACTTCTGGAAAGCTGGGGTGTAGGTCATCCTTGAGGAGGCTGACGATCTCCAGGAATGTCGGCCGCATCTTGGGGTTGAACTGCCAGCACATGCGCATCAGGTCGGTGCTGCGGATACAGAGAGACACCAGTATGAGTCTGGGGACGCAGCCACACAGCTCCATCTCCTCCCACCCCTGCCCCTTTGTGGCCCACACCCAGACGGGATGAGTCCTCAGCTCAGGTGGTGGCTGTGTAAATATGCCAGTCAGGCTGGACTGATGAGTCTAGGGGGCTGGAAGATGGGTTTGAAAGCCAGTCAGACCTTGTGTCACAGGCCTGACATTCCAGCTACTCAGGAGGCTAAGGCAGGAGGGTTATAAAAGTTCAAGGCTGTTGGGAAATCCTGCTGTTAAGGTTGGCTCCTTTCTCAGCCGGGGCTTCCTGCCTGACTTACCTGGAAAGTGCAGCCAAGCAAGGATGCTTGGCCTCATTTGAAACATGATCTTTGGCATAGTTACCTGCAATAAAACTACCCCCAGGTTTTTTCTATATGATAATTAGGCATTTCCCCATAGTCGGATGATAGGATCCCCTACCACATGTAAATAAAGCATACTGTGAGCACCTATCAGCTGAAGCATTGGCTGCTGCCTCCACACTATATTTTCCCTGACCCCCACTGAATAAACGGAGCTGTATCACTGAATCTGGAGTTGTTTGTATCACTGAACCTGCCTCCCTGGAAAGGCTTTCTTCCATTGGTGCTCACTGGCCATCCCTGACTCCATTCGTTGCTTCTGCTCCTTTTGTCCTCAAGGACCAAAGCCAACGACCCACGAGGGAAGGGAGAGACCCCACACAAGGTACAGAGTGACTTTCAGGCCAGCCTGGGCAACTTAGTGAGACTGGTGTCTCTAAATAAAAAGGAAAAAGGGGGCATAGCTTACTAGGGGAAGAGAGAGGGTAGAGGAAGGGAGAAAGAGAAGGGGGGGAGAAAGAAAGGGAGGGGAGGGGAGAGGAAGGGAGGGGAGGGAGAAGGTAAGAGAGAAGGGAAGGGGAAGGGAAGGGGAGGAAAAGAACAGAGGGGAGAGGGGGAACTGAAAGAGGGAAGGGGGGAGAAGAGATAAGGTAAAGGAGGAGGAAGGACAGGGGAGGGAAGGAAGGGAAAGGGAAGACACCACAATGGAGCCCAGAGAGCTGTCACCTGAGAAAGAGCCTCAACTGAGGAACTGTTTAGATTTGGCTGGCCTGTGGGTATGTCTGTAAGGGATTGTCTTCACTGTTAATTGATGTGGAAGGATCCACTCATTGTGGGTGGTACCATTCCTTGGGCAGCCACTCCTGAACTGTATAAGAATAGAGAAAGCTAGCTGAGAGCAAGTAAGCAAAGATCCATGGGTTTATAACATCTCTGCTCCTGACGGTACATGTGATTTGACTGCTTTGAGTTCATATCTTGCCTTCCTCTCAATAATAGACTGGAACCCAGAATTATAAGCCAAATTAACCCTTCCTCCCCTAAGCTGCTTTTGATCAGGGTGTTTGATCACAGCAACAGAAACAAAGCTAGGACAGCAATCCTATTGTGCACGGTTTATCACCTTGTGTATCCTCAGTCCCCCATTCCTCAGCATTTGGTGCCTTTCATGAAATTTCATTCCTTCCTGGGGCTCCTTGCAGAGCCTTACCTGTAACCACCTGCCATTCTAGGCTTCAAGACCCTTCAGCACTCTGATGCTTGAGCTTTGGCAGGTACAGCTCTATGGGATGAACCCAGAGGGCCAGCTCTGATCTGATACACCAAAGGAAGATGTTAGGAGGAGCCTCAGTCATGGAACCAGCATTTGCCTGGTTGGCTACACAGTACTTGCAAGATGGGGTATACTAATGTCTAGCATCATACAACAGTCTGTGCCTCATGGCCTCATTCTTACAGGCTTATCCAGGAAGACCCAGGCCACCACTTTATCCAGCCCAAAGTACTCAGAACAGGAGCCAAGGGCTTGAATTTTTCAATTTGACCTCTTCACCCATACATACACATCCTATATATCTTGTCCCAGAGCAAGAAACCAGCAAATTCCAGTCCTCAAATCAAATCTGGCCCTCCGAATATGTTTATGTATAAAGTTTAATGGTCACAGCACATGTTCTGCTGTTTTTTAAATGCCACCCCCCCCCAAACTCAGCTGTTGGGGCAACAGTGTTTGAAAGAGGGACTCTGGGAAGGTGACTGGATCATGAGGGCACTAACCTTCTTGATGGATGAATCCATGGCTGGATTCACAGACTGATGAGCTATTAGGGGTTGACAGAAACTCTTAAGAGGTAGGACCCAGTTGGAGAAAGTAAGCCACTGGGGGCATGAACCTGAGGGTATACTTTACCTCCAGTCCTCCCCTCCTCCTGTGCATATCTCTCTGTCTCTCTCTTTCTCTACCTCTGGCTCTCTGTATCTTTCTGTCTCTATCTTCTCTCTCTCTCTGTCTCCCTCTGTCTGTCTCTGTCTCTGTCTCTGTCTCTCTCTTTCTCTCTTTTTCCCCTCCTCCTATCTCTCCTTGGCTACCGTGACACCATGAGCTGCGCATCCCTGCTCCACCACACTCTTCCCACCATGATCTGCCTAACCACAGCCCCAAAATAATGGGGCCAAGTGATCATGCACTGAAACTTCTGTCACTGTGAGTCACGATAAACTTTTCCTCCTTTAAGTTGACAGAGCGCTAACACACATGGTCTTTTCCATTCTTTATGCAATGTCTATGGCTCCATTCAAGCTGTAACAGTCCGCAGAGCTGTGAATATTTACAATAAGGTCTTTTAGGGAATGGTTGTGAACCCTTGCCTTGCAACCTTTATAATGTCTTAGTTTCCTTTCCTGTTTCTGTGATAAAATACCTTAACAAAAGCCACTCCCAGGAGAAAAGGCTTATTTTAGCTCACAGTTCCAAGTTACAGCCCATTATAGTAGGGAAATCAAGGCAGTAGGAACTTGAAGCAGCTAGACATAGTCACAGCCAAGAGCAGAGAGAGAATATATACACGCGTGCACGCCTCTGGTCAGCTTCACTTCCTTGGATCTTTTATTTTTCAGGGTTTTTTTTCCAGTTTTTTTTTTTGTTTTTTTTTTTGTCTTTTTGAAGCAGGGTCTCTCTGTAGCCCCAGCTGTCCTGGAACTCACTACGTAGACCAGGCTGGCCTTGAACTCACAGAGATCCACCTGCCTCTGCCTCCCAAGTGCTGGGACTACAGGCGTGCGCCACCATGCCGGGCTTTTTTCAGTTTTTTAAAAAATTATTTATTTAATAACCACATAATCAGAAGAAGAGTTTCATTACAACAGCACTGACATATTCAATAACAACTTCCAGAGCTAAGACGCATCTCTTTCAAAACCGGCTGTAAATTTTTAGGTTTACAGTTGAATTAATACAGTTACACATTATTGTACTAAGCATAAACCCTATAAGACATAAAATTGAATGAGGTTTTAACCTTTAAAAAAGCTCTTCATTTCATCTTAAAATATACTGTTTCATACAGAAAAACTCATTTTTAATGCAACTAACACTTAGATGTTCTATCTGATTATCACTAGTCACGGTTACTTTCTGAGATCCTTGGCACCTGAGCATGGATATAAAGTCATCAGGTAGATTTCAAGGATCTTGTAACAATTCAGGATCCTCTGCCTATGGGATGGTGCTGTGCACAGTGAGGTCTTCCCACCTCATTTAATCAAGACAGGGGCTGGAGAGATGGCACAGAGGTTAAAATCACTGGCTGCAGTTTCTTGTTGGCTAAAAGTCAAAATGTTCTTGGGCTTGTTAACAACATACTCTGTTCCAAGGCCAAAAATGTCAAAAGTATTTGGGAGCCTGTATTGAATCCTTAAAAGATTTTAGGGTTACCTCTTCAGAGGGGGGAATGTTGGAGGGGAGGGAGTAGGCATGGATTTGATCAAAACACCTTATATGCACGTATGAAATTCTCAATAAAGTTTTTGTAAAAATTAAAAAAAAAAAAAGAGCACTGGCTGCTCTTCAGAGGACCCAGATTTGGTTCCCAGCACCCACGTGGCAGCTAACAACCATCTAACTCCAGTTACAGGGGATCCAACACCCCGCCCCCTCTTCTGATCTCTGCAGGCACTGCATAACAGGGGTGTACTTATATACATGTGGCAATATACTTATGCCAGCTGCAAACTGGTCTGATCAGAAAAGACATTAATGAGTCAGTGTTCAGAAAAGTTTTAAACATGAAACCATAAATACAAATAGAAGCATGTGTGCGAAGACAGGGATACAAACATAAGCATGCACATAAAGATTTGCTATTCAGGGATGGGTAGATAGCAGTCAGTGAAGTACTTGCCTTTCAAGCACAAAGACCTGAGGTAGATCCCCAGAACCCATGTAAAAACTACTGGACATGGTGCTGCACGTTCATATCCCAATGTCAGGGAGGTAGAGACAACAGGATCCATGGGACTTGCTGGCCAGTCAGCCTAGTCAAGTCAGTGAGCTCTAGGCCAATGAGAGAGGCCTTGCCTCAATGGAGGTGGATAGCCTTTCTGAGGATGACACCCAAAGATTTCCTCTGGCCTCCAGACATGCATATACACACAAACATGCACATAAGCATTAAAAACAAAAACAGATTTGAGCTAGGCATGGTGGCTCACACCTTTAATTCCAGAACCCAGGAAGCAGAGGCAGGCAAATTCCTGTGAGTTCCAGGCCAGCCAGAGCTAGACAGTGAGAGCCTGTCTCAAAAAATAAGATTTGAAGTTCGGCATGGTGGCACATGCCTTTAATCCCAGCAGTCCTCTGAGATAGAGGCCAGCCTAGTCTACATAGCAAGTGCCAGGCCAGCTGGGACTATAGGGAGACCCTGTCTCAAAAACAAAAACCAAGATTTGATAGGGAAATGCATGTATGCAAACACAGAGCATATATAAATATATAATATCTAAAATATGTAAACACATGCAAACACAAGTGTATGTACAAAAGGCATGCTATACATATGTAGGCTATAGGGCCTACAAACCTAACCCACATGCATGGATCTGGGATATGCAAACACAAAACATATAGAAAGTGCAAGTGCAGGGCCTTCTGAATGGACCTCTCACACCTCGCACACTTTTTCCATACTTACAGTCTGTCAGCACAGTTATCCGGCGGATCCAGATAGCCTCCATCCATGACAAATTTCAACACCTGCTCATTAGACAGGCCTTGATAAGGCTGTTCCGCCAGGCTGGTGATTTCCCAAAGGACCACCCCAAAGGACCTGCCAATGACACAGACAGTAGTTAGTGAAGAAGCCAGTGAAACATGCACTCTCAGACACACTTGTGCATGCCTCTTTGGGTTTACTAGAACTTCGTTGACCCATTAGCAAAGCAATTCAGGGGCAGAGGAGACGGCTCAGCTGGCAGAGCACTTTCCGTGCAGCCATAAAGACCCAAGTTTGATCTGCAGGGCCCACATGATAGGCAGAGAAAATAGACCCCCGCAAGTTGTCCTCTGACCTCTGCATGTGCCAAGTGGTATGTGCACCCCACCTCCAAACTCAAATAAATGCAATCAAAAATTTCAGGGGATGGAGAGATGGCTCAGCAGTTAAGAGCATGCACTGCTCTTGCAGAGAGCCTGTAAATTCCCAGTACTCACGTCAGGCAGCTCACAACCACTTGTAAGTCCAGCTCTAGGGGAGCCGATGCCTCTGGCCTCTGCAGGCACCTGCACTCATGTGCACCTACCCATACACACACACATACACACACACACACACATACACACACACACCCATACACACACACATACACACATACACACACGCACACACACATACACACACACCTACCCATACACACACACATACACACATACACACACGCACACACACATACACACACACCTACCCATACACACACACATACACACATACACACACGCACACACACATACACACACACCTACCCATACACACACACATACACACATACACACACGCACACACACATACACACACACCTACCCATACACACACACATACACACATACACACACGCACACACACATACACACACACCTACCCATACACACACACATACACACATACACACACGCACACACACATACACACACACCTACCCATACACACACACATACACACATACACACACGCACACACACATACACACACACCTACCCATACACACACACATACACACATACACACACGCACACACACATACACACACACCTACCCATACACACACACATACACACATACACACACGCACACACACATACACACACACCTACCCATACACACACACATACACACATACACACACGCACACACACATACACACACACCTACCCATACACACACACATACACACATACACACACGCACACACACACATACACACACGTGCACACACGTGCACACACACACACACAGCCATAACTAAAAATAAAAATCTTTTTAAAAAATAGGTTAACACTTTTTAAAAAAGACATTTAATTTTACGTGTATGAGTGTTTGCCTGCATCCATGTCTGGCACCCAAGGCGGCCATAAGAAGATACTGGATCCCCTGGCACTGGAGTTAGAGATGGTTGTGAGCTGCCATGTGCATGTGGGAACAGAACTCAGGTCCTCTGCAAGATCAGCGAGTGCTTTTAACCGCTGAGCCATCTTTCCAGCCCCGAAAATAAAATCTTAAAATAGAAAGCCAGGCAGGCAGGGCCGCTTTCCCTGCAAGCATGAAGATGGGAGTTCAAATCCCTAGAAATCCATGTAAAAGTTGGGTGGGTGATTCCAGCTTCGGAAGGTGGAAACAAGGGATCCCCAGAACAAGTCAACTAGCTCTGGGTTTGCATCCCTACCTCAATGAATAGGGTGGAAAATGAACTGAAGATGATTCCCAGCAATAACCTTGGCCTCCACAAACATACATCTCCATACATGTGCACCCACACATGTAAATGTGCAATACACACATGCACACCATACACAGGGATGAAAATGGGGGGGAAGAAAAGATGGGCGTAATGGTGAGCACTTGTAATCCCAGTGCTAGGGAGTCAGAGATAAGTTGATCCCTGGGGCTCCCTGGCCAGCCTCGTCTATTTGGCAAGTTCCAGGGGAGTGAGAAAGCATTCCTCAAAAATCAAGGTAGCTGGGAGTGGTGGTGCATGCCTTTAATCCCAACACTTGGGAGGCAGGGCAGGTGGATCTCTATGAGATTGAGAGCAGTCTGGTCTAATAGTGAGCCTCCAGGCAACCTGGGGCTACAGGGAGACTCTGTCTCAGAAAAGCAACAACAAAAAGGTAGATAGCACCTGAGTGGGAAGGAACTAAGCCCAAGGTTGTCGTCCTGCCTTCACATGGACACCACAAACATGTTACGACAAGCAACTCATAAGTCAATTATTATAAGAAAACTCTATTGATATATAAGAATAGCCACAGGCAAGACACTGTCATCATTTCTGTATGTCAAAGGCAGGCTTCCCCTGCCCTGTCCTGCTGACCACATTAGTCAGACACCTGGAAAAGTTCAAACCCAGTACAGCTGGGTTCATCCACATGCATGCACAACTCACCACATGTCAGAAGAAGCAGTAAAGACTCCATCCTTCAGGGACTCGGGTGCCATCCACCGCACAGGCAGCAGGCCTTTGCCCCCTTTCCGGTAGTAATCTGTCTCGTAGATGTCTCTGGTCATTCCGAAGTCTGCCAACAAAAAGTTCACAAGCTCTTACCTTCAGTCCATTGCCCGAGCATCTGTCCATCTTGACTGGCTTGCCCCTCACAGGGCCATTAGGGGTTCTGTGTATGGCAGGTAAATCTAGCAAGGGTGAAGCCTGAGGGTGTGCATGGGGGTGTAGTGGGAGAATAAGGGCAGCCATTTAAAGGGAGGAAAGCCAGACATGCTGGTTCACACTTTTAATCCCAGCAGAGGCAGAGGCAGGCAGATCGCTATGAAATTGAGGCTAGCCTGGTCTACAGAGTGAATTCCAGGCTAGGTGGGGATACTGGGAAACCCTATCTCAAAAGATTTTTTTTTTTTTTTTTTTGTCTTTTTGAGACAGGGTCTCCCTGAAGTCCCAGCTGACCTAAACTCACTACATAGACCAGGCTGGCCTTGAACTCACAATGATCCACCTGCCCTTGCCCCAAGTGCTGGGATTAAAGACGTGCACCAAGATTTTTTAAAAGGAGAGAAAAGGAGGTTTCCAGTGATAAAGAAGCATGGGATGAACCCAGCTGAACTGGCCTCAGGTCCTAACTGCTCATCCTTCCCACCTGTATTTTCTCCAGCATTGCAAACAGCTTTTGACTTTCTCCAGCCAACCTGCTGCTCCCCCACTGACTAGGACCCTTCCATCTTCTCAGCTGCTCAGCAAAGAACCAAGGGCTAGGGTCTCCTTTGAGAGGGTCTCTATAGCTCTCTCTAATCCATCTTACCATCATTACCCTAACACCATCCAGGCTCACTGCCATCACCTGTGCATCCTCCAACCTGACAATGTCCCACTACAGGGGAGGCTGTGTGAACAGAACCACAACAACCCTGACTGCTCCCATGGTATTTTTTGTTTTTTTAACACAGGGTCTCAGGTAGCCCCAACAGCCTTGGACTTGACATATAGCTGAAGACGACCTTGAACTTCTGCTCCTTCTCCCTCCACCTCCAGAGTGTTGGGATACAGATGTGTGCCACCACACCTGTTTTGTTCCTCACTCACTGTTAATGTTAAATGTCTTTAGAATCATAAATACAGAATCATGTCCATTCTGACTTCCCGTAGTTCATTCAGGCTGATGTCCTTGGAGCACACAAACAGTGCCAAGCTCCTTCATGACTCCCATTGCTCATGTAGAATATCTTTTTGGGATCATAAATAGGATCATCTCCCTATCTGTTCCCAATTCTAACATAGGGGGATATCTTTGGGGATTTTAATAGGATCTTGTCCCTTCTTGCTTCCCACTGGCTTTGTAGGAGAATGGTAAGGTGACCTCCTATGACTTGTGAAGTGTTACAGATCTGGTTCTCAGCTCTCAGTACAACTTCACAGCTCATTCTGTCCTAGTCCCCTCTACATCTATCCTGTCCACACAACCCCAGACCACCCACTGAGGCTCTTAGCATCTGCTTCTGCTGTCTTCTTCCTCTGTATTCTCACACTCAACCTTCTGGTCCTGTCAGAAATTATTTTAGTTAGCTTTAACAGTCAACTTGACAAAGCCTAGAATCACCTGAATACAAGAGCCTCCACTAAAGAATTATGTAAATCAGACTAACATGTGGATATGTCTGTGGGAGAGTGTCTTGATTGTTAATTGATGGGGAAGGGCACAGCCCACTGTGGGCAGCACCATTCCCTTGGGGGGTGTATAAGAAAGGTAGCTAAGCATTAACCTGTGAGAGTCAGCAAGCAGTGTCTGTCTGTAGTTTCTGCTTCAGGTTCCTGTTTCTGACCAAGGGAGGGGAAGTATCATTGACAGTTGGAGGATGGAGTCCAAACCCCAAATCCTGTCCCTTGAAACTATCATAAAAGATCTCACAACTTATTATGCAAAACTTCTTTCCAAAATCAAACTCAACCTGGGTGGTATACACTGATGCAGAAAGAAAGGTTCCCAGTCTGGGGAGACAGCCCAGTTGGTTAAATGCTTGATTTGCAAGCATGAAGATATGAATTCAAGCCCCAAAACCCATATACAAAACAACTGGGTTGGTAGCACATACTTGTAATCCCAGTGCTGGGGAGGAGAAAATAGTGGATCCCTGAGAGTCACTGGACAGCAACTAGCTTAATTGGTGAGTTCCAAGTCAGTGAGAGAGACTGTCTCAAATAGGGAGACATGATAGGGAAGCCACACCAATGAAATTTCCAGAGTATGGTAGTCTAACAAGATAGATCTGCATAACGACAAAACCAGCTGACGTGCCAAGATGGAAGAGGGGGTAAGTTTCATGGGGTCCCACCTCAAGGTGAAGAACAAAAGACAATGGATGCTGAGGGAAGGAGAATCAGTTTTCTTTGGGGGTGAACTCCCTGATAGCTAACTAATCCCAAGTGGGCAGCCCTAAACACATGTACATGAGACCCACCAAATGGATGCAGTGTATTTTATATGTATATTTATAAATGTTTGTATATGTAAAAATAGTAATCAGACAAGAAAACAAGATTGAGAGAGAGTGGGGGGGTCATGGGAGGAGTTGGAGAGGGACTAAAGGGATAGAAATAATGTATTTATAATGCATATATAATATACAATATTCATATGAAATTCTCAAAATAAAAATGGGAAAATAATGGACAGTACCTGAATATCAACAGCTGAGGTTCTCCTCCAGCCTCCACACCTACACACACGGGGGCGGGGGAGAGAGAGAGAGAGAGAGAGAGAGAGAGAGAGAGAGAGAGAGAGGTTTCTAAGACACACCTCCAATTTTGACAGTGAAATCATGGGCAACCATGCAGTTTCGAGCTGCCAGGTCTCGGTGCACAAACTTCTTGGCATTCAAGTACGCCATGCCATCAGCAATCTCTGCTGCCATCTGAATCATCTCTTGTAGGGTAGGGGGAGGGCGGCCAGGGTTATTCTAAAGTCAAAACATGGGGTTGCATTTAGTTACAACAGTATACTGAAAAGCAGGAGCAGGTGTCCTGCCAGGGACCTAAAGGCAGCTCACCTCAGACTCTGGACGCAGAGAACGGAGGTGGCTCTTCAGGTCTCCATGAGCCATCAACTCCATCACCACCAGTGTCGGCTGGCCCTTGGACACCACTCCAAGGAGGCGGACCTAAAAAAACAAGCATGGAGGTGGTAGAATGAGGGTCCATGAGATGATTTCAACTCACTATGGGCTCTCTGTCTGGTGCCCAGAGCACACACAAGACTATGCTCAGATACACCATGGTTAGCCTTAGTATGGGGGAACACAAAGAGCCACCCATATATAGGATAATGCAAGCAAATCTTACCTCTTTAATGTGCCTTGGCATATCAGGCAAGTTCCTACCTCCAGACCTCTGCCTTTCCTGTCCCCCTCTGCCTATTCCCTACCATGTACATACTGTTCAGTCTCACATTCTTTTAAGACTGCTCAACATACCCAGTCCTCCTTTCTCCCTCCCCTTCTCTGTCCTGTTCCTCTCCCTCCCTCCTCCTCTGTCCTTCCTCCTTCTCCCTCTCTCCCCTACATTCTCCTCTCCCTTCTCCTCTTTCCCCTCTGTTTCCCTTCCTGCCTCCCCCTTCTCCCCTCCTCTCCAATTTATCCCAGCATTTTCTCCTAACATTCAAGTCACATATCTATTTGGGATCTGTGTCCCCTGCACTGGAGTATCTATGAAGAGGGTCGGGGACCTGTGGCCACACCAGTACAGAAAGGGCACTGATATGTAGCAATTTCTTCTGAACTGAAACATCCCCACTTGGAGGGAGGCTCAGGAAGACTAGGGAAAGTAACCAAAACTTACAAGACTTGGGAAGTAAACAACTCACAAGTCCCACAAAGTTCCTAAAACTTACAAGATTCACAAGAGACCTCCCCAAGGTTACAGAAACAGTAAGGACTTCTAAAGAGAGTAGACTCTGATCCTGGAGCTGCCTGCAAGCTGTGCAGTGAGTGCCAAGGTTCCAGCTTTCCTGAGTCATCACCCATGCTGGGGGTGGGCTTTTTGATGATGCAGTGCTCTCTTAGTCATCCATGTTCCTGTAAGATACCTCTGACCCATACCAAGTAAACTAATTGGTTCACCAAGTTGGACTTTGGTGGAACCCTTTCTTTGGTCTGTTTGCAGAACCCTATCTGAGGTGAATAGCTGTCTGTTTGCCTCACCTAACAGGCCAAATACCTCTTTTTACTGCAGGGAAAGTCACATAAAAGGTGCCCCTAAATCTGCCTGGAAAGGATGAAAGGACACCAGGGACTCAACAAGAAATAAAGGGCCACCTGGGCGTGGTGGTGCACGCCCTTAATTCCAGCACTCAGGAGGCAGGTGGATCTCTGTGAGAAAAGGCCAGCCTGGTCTACATAGCAGGTTCCAGGACAGTTGGAACTACAGGGAGACCCAAAAAACAAAAAAACAAACAAAAAATTACACACCAATGGGCTGGGGAGATGGCTCCATGGTTAAAGTGCTTGCAGCACAAGCATGAGGACCTGAGTTGAATCTCTAGTGCCTAGGTAAAAATGAGGCATGGTGGTGGTACATACCTGTCAGCCAAACACTCAGGAGGAAGAGGAAGGCAGATCTCTGTGAGATGGAAGCCAGCCCAGTCTACATAGGGAATTCAAAGCCAGCTGGGGCTACTGGGAGCCCCTGTCTCAAAAATAAATAAAATAAAGGGTCCATGTGGGAGGAGAAAGGTAGGGAGGGCTTGTGCTGGCTTCATGGGGAGTAGGGATGAGGACAGAGGGGAATGGGTGCACCTCCATGTGGCTCAGATAAGTCAGAAAAAGATTCTTCTAGCAGAAAGAGATTGAAGAATCCAGAAATCAATGGATCGATGGAGAGCAATGGAGGATTCTAGAAAGAGACAGGACGGTGATGGAGTTTGGTTTGATAGAGTGAGCTGGAAGAAGATGGAATGGATAAGGAGGATCCCCCTCCCCATTTCTTTAGGATGGGAACTTTAACAGAATGGAAGGTGGAAAGGGGTCTACATCCAGTGTCCTGAGTGGCAAAGTAAGTCAAGGCACATAAAACGAAGCCTTTCTCCCAGCCAGACTCACCACATGGTGACAGGTGAAGCCCTTCATGACGGATGCCTCGTTGAGGAACTCGATCCTTTCTCGGAGGCTGGCTGCCTCATTGACTGTCTTCACAGCCACACGGGTCTCTGCCTCGCCCTTGATGATGTCCTTGGCATTGCCCTCATACACCATGCCGAAGGAGCCTTGCCCCAGCTCTCGGAGGAGGGTGATCTTCTCTCGAGGCACTTCCCACTCATCCGGTACGTACACAGAACATGGAAACACTACTTTTCACTTATCTATACAGCATCTTTAGCCGATCTACTGAGGGGACTGCCAGCTACCTCCCACTCCAACTTTTGCTTGAACTGCCCCAAAATATCTATTTTGTGATCAAAGACTTCCTTCTGGACATTGCGTGCATAGCCTAGAAAGGACAAGCATTTGCCCCCATAGAAGGGATGGCAAAGGTTGTGCATTGAGTCACACCTGTTCTAGAATCCTGATTGGGAAGCACTGAGATTGTGTCCTCATCTTTCCTATCTAGATTCCAGATCCCTGCTACTGAATGATGTCACTTCCTATGATGGATAATACTGACTTCCAACTTAACAGAATCTAGAATCTTCTAGGAGACAAGCCTTGAAGCATGTCTGAGAGACAATTTCCAGACTAGGTTAGCTGAGGAGGGAAGACCCACCCTGAATGTGGGCAGCACCATTCCATTTGCCTGGAGGTCCAGGACTAAATATAAAGGAAAAGCCAGGGCTGGAGAGATGGCTCAGCGGTTAAGAGCACTGGCTTCTCTTGCAGCGGACATGGGTTCTATTCCCAGAACCCTCATGGCGGCTAGCAACCATCCATAACTCCAGTTCCAGGGCAATCCGATGCCCTCTTTTGACCTCTTCAGGTTTTGCATGACATGGGTGCACTCACATGCATGCAGGCAATACACTCATACACATAAAATAAAAATAATAAATAAAACATAAAAAGGAGGAAGCCAGCTGAGCACCAGCATTCTTCTTTCTGTTTCCTGACTGATACAATGTGACCAGCACCTCCCACTCCTGCTACTGTGTTTTCCACACCATGATGAACTATACATTCAAAGTAGGAACGAAAATAAACCCTTCTTCCCGCTAGGTGTTTTTTTTTCAGGCATTTTGTCAGAGCAACAAGGAAAGTAACTAATATACTTCCCACTGGAGATGTCTTGGCAAGGTACCAAAAACATAGGGACAAAAGGAAGTTAAAATAGGCTAGGAAGGGGCTGGAGAGATGGCTCAGTGGTTAAGAGCACTGGCTGCTCTTGCAGAGGACCCAGGTTCAGTTCCCAGCACCCACATGGTAGCTAACAACCATCATAATTCCAGTTCCAGGGGATCCAGTGCCCTCCTCTGGCCGCTGCATGCACATGGTACACTTACATACATGTAGACAAAAAACTCATACACACAAAATAAATCAAAAAAATTTTTTAAATAGACTGAGAATTTTAAAAAGTTCATAATACTTGGCACAAGTATTATGCCAAATAAAGGGGTGTATTTTCTGTCCCCACCCCTTGGACTCTGCCATAGTCCTGTGGTTTGCTTTGGTCCAAGTGGACATCCTGAAGCCCTCCCAAGCTGCTAGGAACTACACAGGGTACACTATGAAGGGTCAACCAGGCCAACCTTCAAGGGTCATTTTAAAGAAGAACTTGCCATAGAACAGAGGCCTTGAGGATCAGCCATGCCTTCTCCCTGGAGGTCACTCACTATAATTTGGTACAGTCAGGGGCAGCATGGTCTGTGTTAAGGTCTGACCATCAGCATCAACTTCCATTCAACTGACACCATGAGTAGATGTCTCCCTAGTACTCACCCAACTCCCACCTGCCCCATCCTATCTCCATTTCTTTTTTGTCTGTGTGTGTATGTTTGCACATTTGTATATGCTTGCACATGTGTGCACTCACTGTATGTGTGTGTATACATGTTGAGGCCAGAGGTCGACATCAGGTGTCTTCCTCTATCATCTTCTTTTGTGAGACAGTGTCGCTCACTGAATCTGGAGCTCACTTGATGAAGCTAGGCTGGCTAGTCAGTGAGCTGCCAGGTTCCAACCATCTCTGCCTCCCTAGTACTGGGACTAGAGGTGCACATCACTACATCTAGCTTTTTTTTGTGGGTGCTGGGGAACCCCACTCAGTCCTCATGCTTAGGCAGTAAGCACTTTACCCACCAAGCCAGTTCCCCAACCCCATGTCTCTACTTCTTATCTTAGTCTCTCATTGTGGCTTCCAAATCCCACCTTCTTAGCCTGGACGGCAAACTTGGTAGTGAATTTCCAGCCTGACCCTCCACATTGTCCCCAGATCCTCACTCCCATGGCTGTGACATGAGGTTTTCAGCCCTACATTCCAACCTAAAAGTCCCAAGTGGGCTATATCAACCTATCTGATTGTGAAAGTGTCAATCACCTGCAGGAGCAGGTGGGCAAACTCAAACACACAAGGGGGCTTTTCTCAGTCTCTCTGTGGCTAACCAACCCTCTGACTTGATAGTGATGACCACCCACAGGGAAGCACATGGCACTCACCATCACTGGCACTGAGGTACTCTGGGTTTGAAGACGCATACAGTGGTCCCATTGGCCCATCCGGCTGCCTGGAAGAGACAGACACACCAGTTTGAGATTCCCACAGCATTCTGTCAGTCTTAGAACTGGACACCAGAAATAGGCAAATACTACAAATCAGGAATGGCTTTATTCTTTCATTTACCCAACCTAAAGAAAGTGAAGGGTGAAAATGTTAATAATAAGTGTCTTGATTCACCTTAATTTTCAACTTGAAAGAGTCTAGAGTCATCTGGCATGAGAAGCCTCAATGAGTAATGCCTACATCACGCTAACCTGTGGGACATTGTCTTGACTGCTAATTTATGTAAGAGCCCAGTCCACAGTAGGCAGCATCATTGTCTAGGCAGTAGGTCCTGGGTTGTATAATAAACTCAACTACGTGGTGGCATATGCCTTTAATCCCAGCAAAGGCAGTCAGATCTCTGTGAGATGAAGGCCAGCCTGGTCTGCATAGCAAGTTCCAGGCCAGCTAGGGCCACAGGGAGACCTTGTCTCCAAAACTCAAAACCCAAAACAAACAAAAAAGCCAGCTGCTGCAGGGCATCATTGTGTTCAGGTAATTCTGAAGGCCAAAAGAGGATGTCAAGTCCCTTAGAGCTGGAGTTACAAGCTGACATGGGTACTGGGAACTGAACTCTGGTCCTCTGGAAAAGCAAGTGATCTTAACCACTGGCCTGATCTATCTCTCCAGCCCCTGCCTTACTCTTTAATGCAAAGAAAATCAGTCAAGCCAAGTGTGCCCTAGTAGGTGCGGTAGTGCACAACTGAAATCCCAGTAGTTGGGAAGCTAAGGCAGGACAACCACAAGTTCAAGACTATATAGCAAGACCCTGGAAAAAACAACATGGAATTGTCACGCTAAGCAAAATAAGCCAGACTCAGAAAGACCAATATCACTATATATGATATGACAGTAGATGTCAGACTATGAGGAGAGAGAATGGGGTCAAAGGGAGGGAAGAGGGTAGAACAAGAGAGGAAAACGGGAAGGAGAAAGACAAAGTGTATCATTTCTTTCACATATATGGAATTTATATTTATGCATACATACACATACATATATGCGTATCACATATTATATATATCAAAACAGAGGGGGACTATTTCTGAGGGGGATAGGGAGCAGCGAAGTATGGGTGAGGAGGGACACAGGGCATAGAAGGGGTGAATAAGAGCAAGGTTCAATGATATTTACATATAAATATATCATAATGATACCCATTAGTTCATAAGCTACCTAAAACAATAAACAAAAATCAACTAATATTTACATTTATGGTTTGATTATGAAATGCCTCAGCTGCCCCCCCTCACCCAGGCACATGTGTTTGAACACTTGGTCCCCGGCTGATGGTGCTGTTTGGAGAGGTTATGGAACCTTTAGGAGGTAGAGCCATGTGGAAAGAAGTATGTCCTGGGGCAGGGATGGGCTTTGAGGTTTTACAGATACATCCCACTTCTTGTTTTCTCTCTCTCTCTCTCTCTCTCTCTCTCTCTCTCTCTCTCTCTCTCTCTCTCCTCTTTCTCTCAGATGACTGTATGCATCAGTTTTCTTCCAGTTGCAGTGTAGCTCATCCTAATTCATTCCAACACTAAGATTGAAGCAGAAGGATTCGATTCCTAGGCCATCTTGAATCCATGTCAACATTGCCTCAAAATGAAGAAATGAAGCAATCTACCCCCTCATTGGTTACTGTGTGAAGTGGCACCTTGGCTCATTTTTGTGAGAAGCAGGGCTAGTCATATACAGAACCTTGTGCCCTGGGCCACCCATCACTTGGGATGGATATGAAGAGGACCAGGCAGATTCCTCAGTGGCAGATCTTCTGACATTGCTTTAGTGCTGTTTCCTCTGCAGACACTGTGAGGGCCACTCAGGAATAGATAAATACTTCCAATCACAACACTGAAGAGGAACACAAAGATGAGTGGGCCGATGATAATTTTGGCAATATTTGATGGGACATCTACTGCAATAGAATAAGAAGATACATGTTCAGCATCAAAGTGTATTGATACCAGGGCTGGAGAGATGGTTCAGTGATTAAGAGCACTGATGGTTCTTTAAGAGGACCCAGGTTCAGTTCCCAGCATCCACAAGGTGGCTGATAACCATCCAGTTTCTGGGGATCTGATGCCCTCTTCTGGCCTCCATGGGCATTGCATGACATAGATGCACTTACATACATGCAAGCAAAAACACTCCTACATATAAAATAAAATGAACAAAAAAAAGACACCATTAAAAGCTGGCCATGGTAGCTCACACCTGTAAGCACAGCACCCAGGAGGGCTTAGGCAGGAGGATCATGAGTTCAAGGCCAGTCTATGTATATAACAAAACCCTGGGCTATTTTGAGATGTAACAGAGTCATTGCACACATGAACTCACAGAGGCTGGGAATACACTCACAAGACCTGCACAAGGTCAAGCCAGCCAAAAGTCCAGCATCAATGGGGGAAGAGCTCATGAAGTAGTACTCCTGTCAGAGGAGCTATTGACGATTGATGGCTGCTAGGGGAGGGAGAGTCCATTTTCTTCAAGGATTAGGGTGTTCCAGTAGATGGTCCTACACCCATGGGCATACAGGCAGCACTAAGTGAACTCAAAAGTGAAAACACACACACAAAAAAAATTGGAAGGAGAGAGGAAAGGGAAGGAATTGGAGGGGAGGTAACAAGGCACGGATTTGATCAAAACACATTATATCGTATATAAAAGTCTCAGACCAAAAGGGGGTGGAGGCTGGGCCACACAGCTGCTCCAGGCAGAGAGGGGATTCAAACCTGTGCAGCATCAATCAGTTTTTAGGTGTGTGTGTGTGTGTATACATGCACATGGGTATGTATGTGCACATGGGTGTATGCATCTATGTACAGGTGCACATTTGTATATAGGTATAGGTGCATGTGTATGTGCTAGAATATGAAAGCCAGAAAACAAACTCAGGTACTTCTTAAAAAATATTTTTATGGGCTGGAAAGATGGCTCATCAGTTAAGAGTACTGGTTGCTCTTGTGGAAGACCCAGGTTCAAATCCCAGCACCCTCATGGGATAGCTAACCACCATCTGTAACTCCAGTCCCAGAGGATCCAATGCCCTCTGCCATCTTCCAAGGGCACTGCATAGCACCAGTGCACTTACACACATGCCGACATAACAGTCATACACATAAAATAAAAAATAAGTTAAATTTTTTTTTATTTATGTGTATGTGTTTGTATGTGAGTATATGCACATGAGTGCAATGCCCTCAGAGGCCAGAAGAGGGCATGAGATCCCCTGGAACTGGAGTTACAGGCAGTTGTGGGCCACCCATTGTGGGTGCTGGGAACCAGCAAGCACTAGGGATCCGACTATCTCTGCCTTCCCAGTGCTTTGAACACAAGTGTTCACCACCAATCACACCCAGGTTTTTCACATGAGTTTTACATGAGGATCAAACTCAAGCTCTCATGCTCGTTAAGCAAGCCATCTCCCCAGCCTGTGAGTCAGGTCTTCTCTAGAACTCATTATTTAAGTTGCCAGTTATGTCCTGAGAAATCCCACCTAGAGCTTCCCCCAGAATTGACAACAAAGTGCTTCCTTGCTCCTGCTAGCTCACAGAACGCATTTGTAAATATTTGGTGATTGAATAGGACACAAGAAATGGAAATGTTCTGGTCACATGGCTTTGTGTGTTCCTGTTTCCTTCCTTCTTTAACAGAGGAAAAGAGAAGTATTCTCTGGAAATCAAGTCAGGGGATTTATTTATTATCATTGTTTAGAAATTCTCTTATTTATTCTTTCTTTCTTACATGTATGCAATGTATCTTGAGCCTATTTACCATGACAATTCATTTTTAAAGCATACGCTGCTGCTGCTTATTATTATTATTGGTTTTGTGAGACAGGGTCTCACTATGTAACCCTGGCTGGCCTGGAACTTACTATCTAGTCCAGGCTGGCCTCGAACTCACAGAGATCTGCCTGCCCAGTCTCCCAAGTGCTAGGATAAAAATGTGTACCACCATGTCCAACCCTTATTATTTTTTATGTGCATGTAGTATATATATAGGTACATGTTTGTGTATCTGTGTACATGTATGTATGAGTATGCACATGTGTGTGAAGGCCCAGAGAGCCACATTGGGTGTCTTCTTCTATCACTCTCCATCTTTGTTTGTATCTACTTATTTATCTTTATGTGTATGAGTGTTTTGCCTGCATGTATGTGAGTGTACCATATGCATGTGATGCCTGTGGAGGCCAGAAGTGGGCTCTGGATCCTGTGGAACTGGAGTTACAGATGGTTGTTAGCCACTATGTAGGTGCTGGGAACCGAACCCGAGTCCTCTGCAAGAGCAGCCCAGGCTCTTAACCCTCTGAGCTATCTCTTTAACTCTTTTCCACCTATGTTTTGAGACAGGGTGTCTCACTGAACGTGGAGCTCACTGATTGGCTAGGCTGACTGTGCAGAGATCCTTCTGTCTCTGTTTCCGCAAGCTGGGGTTACAGGTGTATGTGTGCACACCCAGCTTTTTGTGTGGGTGCTTGGCACCCCAAGTCAGGTCTTCATGCTTACATAGCAAGCACTTTACCTACTAAGTCATCTCCCCAGCCCCAGAGGAGGGCATTTAGGCAGTAGAATCTGAGAGTCATGTTGGCCTTTCCTGCTGCTCCTGGATATCCTACTTCTGCCCACTCCTTCTCTACAGAACCAACAGAATCACAAGGTCTCAGTCCCAGCCAGGGCTCAGTTCCACTACAGCTATGGCAAGAATGGCCCCTGTACAAAACACAGGGTGTACAAGGGCTGAAGGTGCACATGTGTACAGATGTGTATGCACGTGTATGTGCATGTGGAGGTCAGAGGTTAACTTCTCCTGCCATTCCTCAGGTGCCCCTCAGATGCTTACTACCTAGGACAATGCACATGCAATAAAAACAGTGTGCATTTTTTGTGGAATAACAATAAAGGGGATGTCTATAAACATCAGATGGAATTCTTTTTTTGTTGTTTCTTGCTTTTTTTTTTTTTTTTTTGAGACAGGGTCTCCCTGTAGCCCCACCTGTCCTGGAACTCACTATGTAGACCAGGCTGGCCTCAAGCTCACAGAGATCCACCCGCCTCTGCCTCCCAAGAGTTGGGATTAAAAGTATGCATCACCACATTGGGCTATTGTCCTTTTTTTTTTTTTAAAAGATTTTTGTTTATTTGTATGTGTGTGTCTGTGTACATGTTTGTGGGTATCCATAGAGACCAGAAGAGGGTGTCAGATTCCCTGGAGCTGGAGTTATAGGTGGTTGTATGCTGCCTGATGTAGGTGCTAGGAATCAAACTCGGGTTCTTTGCAAGAGCTGAACTGACTCTAAAACCCCAAGATATAATTCTCTTCCCTAGCATTTTTTAAGACATTTTTAAAAAATTTACTTTTATTTTATATATATGAGTGTTTTGCCTGCCTGTATGTAAATGCACCACATGCATACAATGCCTGAAGAGGCCAGGAGAGGATGTTGGATCCACTGGAACTGGAGTTACTGATGGTTGTTAGCCACCATGTGAGTGCTGGGAATCAAACCTGGGTCCTCTGCAAGAACAGTGTGCTCTTAACCACTAGGCCATCTCTCCCAGCACCATCTTTTCCCTAGTATTTTTGATCTGTGGTTGGTTGAATCTCAGAATATAGAATCTGCAAATCTGGAGTACTGTCTTTACAGATGAGGAAGGGCAGGCACATTCTCAGGGCTGGTAACACCACAGTTTCTGGTGGACCTGACTTGTTCAACACTGGTAGCTTCACCAGGGCCATTCTCCAAATGTTCTACCCTGCGTATATCACTGAATCCATATCCAACCACTTGAAGTTGTCATGGAGACTTACAGTAATCTGTCACGTAGAAATAGGTGGGTTCTGTCCAGGAGCCATTGCCCGCCAGAGAGGTGGCCCGGATTCGAACACTGTAGTTTCCAGGGGAGAGCCCTCTCAGCCTGCAGCCCCGTTCCAGGGCAAAATGCTTCCGAGAAACACACATGTGTAGCTCCTAGAAGAAAAGAGAAGGTGACTATCTGAGCTTTGCACATCTGGGCACAACCATCCCAGATGAGTGTCACACTCATTCAGAGGATAAGAGGGAGGGGAAGAAGAATCAGAGTTTGACACGACATAGACTTTAAAAATTGAGTAACTTTTGTTTGGCTGAGTGTTTAATGTGTGAGCAGAGTAAGAGTGTTGCTTTGGTTTGAGACACAGTCTCACTTAGCTCAAGCTGATCTCCAAACTCACTGGTAAATTGCAGGTCAATGCTCTGCTACTGAGCTGCACCCTCAGCCACTCACTGGGAGATTCTAGGCACAGGATCTACTACTGAGTCTTGCCCCAGCCTGTCATTGGGAGATTCTAGGCAGGGGCTCTACCACTGAGTCATACCCCCAGTCCCTCACTGGAGCAGCTTAGCCAAGTGTTCTCCTGTTGAGCCTACAAGCAGTGCAAGGGGCTCAGGGAACTAGCTTTCATGAGCTGTCAGCGTGCTGGGGTGAGGCTTTTTGGTGATGTAGCTGTCTTTTAGTCCCCCACCCTTCTATAAGAAACCTGAATGAACTCACTAATTCCCCAGGCTAAACTTGGGTTGAAATGCTTTGCTGGTCTGTCATCAGTGCCCTATCTGGGGTGAACAGACATCTGTTCATATCTACGCAGGAAAAGTCACACAAGACATGATGACCAGTCCTTGAACAAACACAAACTGTTTGGCTCCAAAACTCCTTTGCCCATCTCGCATTAGGATATTTTGTCCAGGAATCCAGCAAAGTCAGAACCAGGTGGGAATGAAAGGACTTTCATGGATTAGGTCATTTGCCACATCTCCTAGCCTCCTCAGAACCAAACAGAGCCACAGGCTCAATGTCTGTGAACAAATAAAAAATACTCCTCCTTCCCATCATGTTAGCTTTTGATTTTCTTTTGATTTTTTTTTAAAACATCTTCATAAAGAGTTGGAAGGCAGTGCTGGGGCTGCAGTTCAGTCAGGAGAGTGCTTGCCTTGCATTCATGAAGCCCTGGGTTCCATCCCTAGCACTGAATAAGTCAGGTATGGTGGCATATGCCTGTCATCCAGCATGTGGAGGTGGAGGCAGGGGATCAGGAATTCAAAGTCATCATCATTTGCACTGGCTACATAGGGAGTTGGAGGCTAGCGTGGAATACACAAAACCTTGTCTCAAAAAGACAAAAACAAAAAGCCCCCACACTGGAGGACATTTGTGGTCACAAACTTGGCTCGATATGTCAACATATATGACAGAATACATCAAACCTGGTGGGGGGGCTATAAGAGGGGTGAAGATGGGGAAGGGTCTAAATATGATCAAAATATATAATGTATGAAATTTACAGAAATTCAATAAAAAGTTTTTCAAAAAGAAAGAAAAGAAAGAAAGAAAGAAAGAAATTTACGAGGGTGGTGGCACACACCTTTAATCCCAGCACTCAGGAGGCAGGGCAGGCGGATCTCCATGAGATCAAGGCCAGCCCAGTCTACATAGCAAGTTCTAGGCCAGCTGTAGTTACAGGGAGACTATCCTGGTTTGTTTCTCCATTGCTGTGACAAAACACTCTGACCACTACCAACTTGGGGAGGAAAGGGTTTATTTATCTTACATCTCCCAGGTCACATTTCATCTGGGAGCCCAAGGTAGGAACTCAGGGCAGGAACCTGGAGGCAGGAGCTAGAGCACAGACCATGGAAGAACACTGCTTACTGGCTTGCTCCCCTGACCCCTGCTCAGCCTGCTTTCTTATGCAACACAGGCCCACCTGCCCAGGGGTGGCACCACCCACAGTGGGCTGGGTCCTCCCACATCATTCATCAAGAAGATGCCCCTCAGACATGGCCACAGGCCAGTCCAATAGAGGCAATTACCCAATTGAGGCTCCCTTAACCCAGGTGTGTCAAGTTGGCACTAAAGCTATTCAGCACAGAGACCTTGTCTCAAAAAAGACCAAAAAAAAAATTTTTTTTTTCACTTAGGAATCAATTTTTTAAAATACTCTATCTCTTTCACCAGATTCCTAATAAACATTTAGAGTTGATTTATTTCCCTAGATAAGTGATATATGTTTAAAAGTTTGTGTTGGGGTTGTTTTTAGCACCTACTTTTTAAAGGCATTAATGGAGCCTTCAATTATATTAAACACAAAATGAGGCAAAAGGAAAAAAAAGGAGTTGGCATCCACCCAAAGATCTATTAGGATAGGACATAAATAAATAGGGGCACACACCCCATGATAAGCATGCAGCCAGAGATAAACCCAGAGCTCATTAGGAAAGAGGCCAGGTTCCCTGGGGAATAAGTCGGTCAAACCTGTAATCACCAGACCTGAAGTTGCAAAACTTTTCCAAAACATATCTAAAGCTAATTGCATATGCAGAGAACCCGGCTGGAAAAATTTTCAGGGGAGGAGGGTGGGGAAGAGAAAGAAAATGTAAGAACTCCCGTGCTTTATCATGTGATGATAAGAAGAAAAGAAATAAGTCAACCAGGCCAGGCCAGGCGGCAGGAGGCGGGTACAGAAGTCCAGTTCTAAGGTTCTTCTAAACAGAATGAGTCACCAAGTAGAAAAGGACAAATGAACCAATATAGAAACTGAGGAGAGCTGCTAACCAGGCAAAGGGAAAAGCAATCTCTGACGGCAGTTATTTACCCCACCCACCTCCAGAGGTGGTGAGCAAGGAGGGAATGTGATGGAAAGACATGTGCTCTCCACAGACACACACACACACACACACACACACACACACACACACACACACTGAACCATTTCACCAGCCCTTATCTAAAATTTTTTTCCAAAAATGTATTTATTTTTATTTTAAGTGTATGACTTTTGTCTACATGTATGTAAGTACGCCACATGATGCAATGCCTGCAGAGGCTAGAAAAGGGGAACTGATACCCTGGAGTTGTGGATGGTTGTTCACTGCCATGAATCCCTTGGAGCTGGAGTTACAGGCAGTTGTGAGCCATCTGACAAGGGTGCTGAGCAATATGTGCTCTTGACCACTAAACCATCTCTCGTTTTTATTTTTTTATGCGTATGAGTGTCTTGTCTGCATATATGTAAGTGCAACCACATGCGTGTACCATGGAGGCCAGAAAAGGGCATTGGATCCTCTGGAACTAGAGTTACAGATGGTTGTGAGTTGCCATGTGGGTGCTGGGACCCAAACCCAGGTCTTCTGCAAGAGCAGCCAGTGCTCCTAACCACTAGCCATCTCTTCGCCCTCCGCTTCTGTTTTCTACTCTCTGACCTAGGACTCACCAACTAGGCTAGGTTGGAAGGCTCTTCCTGTGCTGATTCTGGAAGTAGCCATGGGCTTTCTTTAGTCAGTGGACATTTGTAAGCTTGTATATTGGACACGTACTTCCTTACCTAGATTAGCTTGCTGGACCAAGAGAGAATCCCTCGGAGGACGCCCCATGTGTCTCCACCTGAGCCCCAGAAAGGCCCAGAGGACAAGAGCCATCCAGTGATAGCCCTGAGAGAAGAGCTGAAAGCCCACTGTTTTAAAGCAGCACCATTCTGGGCAGTTTGTTACACGGCAGTAATGACTGAAACATTTCAAGCTAGTGATCCGAGACTCTAAATTGCATTCCAAATAAGATGTATATTACCTACAACAAACTCATAATGAAAACCAACCAAAAGCACACAAAAAATATCTGAAAATAAACAGTAGTTGTATATTCCTCTTTAACTCTTGTTTGTTTGTTCTCTGCAGTAAGGTCTCATTGTGTGTCCCTGGCTAGTCTGGGGATAGCCCTATGTAGCCCTAAGACCAGGCTGGCCTTAAACTCAGAGAGATCCACTTGCCTCTGCTTCTGAAGTGCTGGGATTAAAGGCGTGTGCCACCATTCCCAGCTCTTTAACACACTTTATAACTCTTTGCAAAGTGGATTTAAAAAACAAGGACTGAAGAGATGGCTCCATGGTTAAGAGCACCCATGTTGGGAAGCTCACAATCATCTGTAACTCCAGCTCCAGCAGATTCAACGCCCTCTTCTGGCCTCCACAGGCACTACATATATCTGTCATACATTCACACCAACTCACACACAAACACATAAATAAAAATCAAATCTCAAAAAAAAAAAGAGGCTGCAGATTTGGCCTCCAGGCCACGAGGTCCTTATTCCATGTCCTCACTGTTAAAGAGAACATTTGAGTGGTCCAGAAAAGAAGGGGTTCAGAGGAGGTCTACCTACTCACAAAGATGTTTTAACACTCTACTAGAACTTCCAAAGTTTCATGAAATCAATTTGTTATAATCCCTCAGAATTAAGACAAACTCTGGCACACAAGTCAAACTTGGTCCACCATCTTTGTCTAAATAAAGTTTTATTGGTACATAATCACATTTACAAGGGGTTCATATTGCCTTCAAACTACAATGGCAGAGTTGAGTGTGTCTGAAAAATAAGTGATAGTTCAGTCACGCAGTTACATGCTATGCCTATATAGCTATTATGAATTATAGTTGCAAAGGCAATATGGATAGAGACACCATTAAGCAGAAGGAAACAACTCATGAATATGATTCAATGGACACCAAAATACATGTGAAGGGGGCTGGTGAGATGGGTCAGTGGTTAAGAACACTTGCTGCTCTTCCAAAGAACCTGAGTTCAGTTCTCAGCACCCATGTCGGGCAGCTCACAGCTGCCTGTAATTCCAACTCCAGGGGATCTGATGCCCCTCCTGGCTTCTGTGAGTATCTACACATATGACATACATTCATATGTATGTGTGTGTACATACATAAATAAAAATGAGTCTTAAAAAGATAACAGAATAATGCTGGGCATGGTGGCACATGCCTTTAATCCCAGCACTTGGAAGGCAGAGGCAGGTGGATCTCTGTGAGTTAGATAGAGCTGGGGCTACAGATGACCTTGTCTCAAAAAGACCGAAAAAAAAAAGATAGTATACTAAAATAAAATATATGTGAATACATTTGCAAATATATAAAACTAGCTATATTCTTTCTGCCTATAGAGCCCAGCCTGACCAAACAAAACAAAACCTGGGGAGGTAGGGCCTGGGCCTGGGGAGATGACTCACCCAGTAAAGTGCTTGCCAAACAAGCATGAGGACCTGAGTTCCAATCTACAGCACCCACATAAAAAGTCAGGCATGGCAGGGCAGGGCACCTGGAACCCCAGGACTGAGGAGTTGGAGACAAGATTGCCAGTCTAGGCAATCAGTGAGCCCCAGGTTCAGTGAGAGAACGTGTCTTTAAAAATAAGATGGGCTCACCCATAACTGGGACCTCTATATCACACCCTCACCCCACCAAGGCTCAGGGAACATTGAGGAAGAAGGGGAGGATAGACTGTAAGAGAAGCAGAGAGGACTACTGAGAAGCTGTGTCTTCTGGACATGACAGGGTCACTGCACTCAGACCTCACAGCAGCTGTGGCTGCCTGCATAAGACCTGCACAAGATCAAGCCAGTCAGTATTCCAGCACGGGGGGGGGGTCATAAGCCACTTCCCCCTACCTGAGGAGCTTCTGGCAGGTGATAGAAAGAGTCAGTTTTCTTCAGTGGTTGGCCACTGGTAGTTTGACTATGCTCCAGTAGATGGCCACACACCCATGTGCATAGGGGCAGCACTACATAGGCTCAGAGGGTTACAAAGGAAGAAGAGGAGAAAGAGAAGAAAAGTGAAGGAAGAAGAGGAGAAGGAGGAGTAGGAGGCATGAACTTAGCAAGAGGGGGTGGCCTGGAGGACTAGGAGGGGGAAGTAGGGCATAAATATGATCTAAGTACCCTGTATTCATGAGTGAAACTGCTGAAGAATGTAAGATGGAGACCAACTGAGGGAGACACTCTAATGTCAACCTCTGGCCTACACAGACACACACACACACACACAGACACACACCCACACACGAACACATATATATAGGACACACATACACCTATAGACTCCTACAAAAGAATATCGGTCTTGAGTTTGAATCACGACTGGAGGCAGAGACGTACACAGCATAAGGCTCATTACTGAGTTCACTGGGACACTCTGAGTATAGACTGCACCTTACTAGTCCCCAAATGTGTTCACAGGTGATATTTCCAAAATAAAAGCCTTCTCACAACTAGAATTACAGCATTGTTTTCTTTCTTAATGGGCCATAAGGGAGCCTACTGTAACACCTTAGCTGGGATAAAATATAGTACATGAGACACCAAGTGTCACATTCAGTGCGCCCTCTGGTAGCTTAGATCCTGCTTCAGATTTTCCTACTGGATTCCACCACTTACAACCGCTGCATTGGCACATCAGCTAATGTACTATCTGGTACATTAAGGATGTTTGAAAGTTGGGATTCATTCACAAACAGATAAATCTCTCTAAAGTGGAATGAGTCTCATTTTGTCAGGAAGGACACAAATGTGGGCAGCCATCACCCAGCCTGGAGGACACAGCTGAAAAGCAATGTAAAAATATGATAGACTGGGTCTGTGAGCTGGCTAAGCACATAAGATATTTGCTGCTAAACCTAAAGACTTGAGTTGAATCCCTGGACTCACATGGTAGAAGGAGCAAACTAACTCTTGAAAGTTGTCTTCTGACCTTCACACACGTTATGGTACACACACACACACACTCATACACACACATGCTAAATAAATAAATAAATAAATAAATAAATAAATAAATAAATGCAACAAAAACTTTCTAAGTGATGAAAGCCATAAGAGATTATAAATTGGCGTTTCTAATTCATCTTCCTGGAAAGGCAGACATCAAAGCTTTGAGTTGTAATAACATAGCATCTGACGGGGTGATGGGGGAAGCTTGGGGTCGCAATGGAAGCAGAGGTAACAAGGGAAACTGAATGCTCCTGCCTAAGTGGTGTACAGCAAGCTCCAAGATCCCACCCGGAGGGAACCTAGAGGGAGGTGCATCAAGACCCAGGAAGTAAACAACCACAAGCCTCAGGAAGTTCTTGACACTTAGCAGAACAGGGCCCCTCTTGCCCCAGGGCTACATAAGGACTGGTAAGGAAAGGAAACCTTCCAAGCTGTTGAGCTGCCTGCAGGTGGTGCAGTTTGGCCAAGTTTCCTGATTTCATGAGCTGTCACCCATACTAGAGTGGGTTTTGACAATGCAGCCATCTTGGAGTCGTTTCTGCTCCTGTAGGTAACCCCTCACCTGTACTCCTGTAAGTCACACCAATAAAACTCACTCGTTCACCAAGCTGTACTTCAGTGATACCCTTACTTTGGTCCCTATCTGGGTGAGTGGACATTTGTTCACATCTCCTTAAAAATAGTGTCATATAACACCACAACTCAGAACCCTTACCTCATCACCATACCGCCGATAGCTTACTTCATACAGCACAATCAAACCATTGGGTTCCCTTGGCTCTTGCCACATCAAGTGTACAACATTGTTCTCAAAGATTTCATGGGTCACAGGGCCAACAATGTCATCTGCCTTAGCTGTAAGAAGCAATTAGAGGCTCAGATAGATCTCTTGGATTAAATCCCACCCTTGCCATTTAACAACTAAGAGACCTGGATAGGATGGCTACATAGTTTTCCCATATTCATTTTCTTCATCAGAGAATATACATATCAAACTCATAGACTGGAGCGATGGCTCAGTGGTTCAGAGCACTAGTGACTCTTTCAGAGGACCCAGGTTCAGTTCACAGCACCCACACGGCAGCTAAGAAAGTCTATAACTCCAGTTCCAGGGGATCTGATACCTTTTTCTGGCCTCAACAGGCATTGCACACATGGGTACAGGCAAAACACACATACACAAAATTAAAAATAACTGGATAAATTTTTCCAGGCATGGCAGTACATGCCTTAAAGGCACTCAGGAGGCAGAGGCAGGTGGATCTCTGTGATAGCAAAGTGACCAAAAAAAAAAGGTAGCTAAAGCTGCCCCCCAGATTAAAAAAAAAAAAAAAAAAAAAAAAAAAAAAAAAAAGCTGACAAGGCTGGGCACGTTAGGGCTGGAGAGATGGCTCATTAATTAAGAGCCCTGGCTGCTCTCAGAGGACCTGGGTTTGGTCCCCCAGCACCCACATAGCCAACAACCATCCATAACTCCAGTTCCAGGGGATCCAGTGCCCTCTTCTGAGGGCACTGCACACATGTGGTGAACTTACATACATAGCAGACAAAACACTCAGATATACAAAACAAAAATAAATAAATCAGAGAGAGAGAAACACATCTGTGCTGGGGTGGGGGGGCTCGCCCATGGCCAACTGGGTCTCACATCCTGTAAGGTGCCAGCCCAGAGGGAGGCAGCCCTACCTTCAGGCATGGTCCGGGCACTGACATAGGCAGCCACACTGCACCTCTCTTCCGGGGAGTCTTGGTTACACGCCTGCAGCTCGATACGGTAGCCAGTGAAGTGCCGAAGGCCAGAGATAACCAGGGACTCCTTGTTAACCACTTTTTCAAAGGGCCTGTGCTCCTCCTGGCTCGTAGGTGTGATGGTGGAAGAGATGTTAGGAAAATCTGGGAGAGTGGGCATGGCAGCCGTCACATTCCCCACTTCTCCAAGGGATCTGCGTTTCCGGGATGGCCTATAGGGAAGAAAGCATGCATGGGGGTCATGACATCACCATCTTAAAACAAAAGGGTACTAGAGAAGGCAAGGTTTAATTAATTAAAAAGACTGGGGTGAGGCATGAGGTGCAGGGGACACTGATTAACTATCACCCAGATGCTCTTGTGAGAGATACTGAGGATGAAGGCAAACCCATTCCTGAGATCCAGCAGCGACACACCCCAAGATCTCCCTCAACATGCTTGATTTCAGGTTTCTGATTTTCTGAAGAACAGGTCAAGAGGGTCAGGATTAAAAATTAAAAGGCTGAGGGGCAGGAGAAATGACTCAGTAGTTACGGTTACTCTTGCAGAGGACTCAGGTTCAGTTTTCAGCACCCATAAGACAGCTAACAACTGTCCATAACTCCAGTTCCAGGGGCTTCAATGCACTCTCTGGCCTCTGTAGGCATTGTACACACATGGTGCATTGACATACATGTAGGCAAAACATTCGTATACATAAAAAATATAAATAAATAAATAAAAAATTTAAAAAAAAAGCTGACAAGGCTGGGCACGTTAGGGCTGGAGAGATGGCTCATTAATTAAGAGCCCTGGCTGCTCTCAGAGGACCTGGGTTTGGTCCCCCAGCACCCACATAGCCAACAACCATCCATAACTCCAGTTCCAGGGGATCCAGTGCCCTCTTCTGAGGGCACTGCACACATGTGGTGAACTTACATACATAGCAGACAAAACACTCAGATATACAAAACAAAAATAAATAAATCAGAGAGAGAGAAACACATCTGTGCTGGGGTGGGGGGGCTCGCCCATGGCCAACTGGGTCTCACATCCTGTAAGGTGCCAGCCCAGAGGGAGGCAGCCCTACCTTCAGGCATGGTCCGGGCACTGACATAGGCAGCCACACTGCACCTCTCTTCCGGGGAGTCTTGGTTACACGCCTGCAGCTCGATACGGTAGCCAGTGAAGTGCCGAAGGCCAGAGATAACCAGGGACTCCTTGTTAACCACTTTTTCAAAGGGCCTGTGCTCCTCCTGGCTCGTAGGTGTGATGGTGGAAGAGATGTTAGGAAAATCTGGGAGAGTGGGCATGGCAGCCGTCACATTCCCCACTTCTCCAAGGGATCTGCGTTTCCGGGATGGCCTATAGGGAAGAAAGCATGCATGGGGGTCATGACATCACCATCTTAAAACAAAAGGGTACTAGAGAAGGCAAGGTTTAATTAATTAAAAAGACTGGGGTGAGGCATGAGGTGCAGGGGACACTGATTAACTATCACCCAGATGCTCTTGTGAGAGATACTGAGGATGAAGGCAAACCCATTCCTGAGATCCAGCAGCGACACACCCCAAGATCTCCCTCAACATGCTTGATTTCAGGTTTCTGATTTTCTGAAGAACAGGTCAAGAGGGTCAGGATTAAAAATTAAAAGGCTGAGGGGCAGGAGAAATGACTCAGTAGTTACGGTTACTCTTGCAGAGGACTCAGGTTCAGTTTTCAGCACCCATAAGACAGCTAACAACTGTCCATAACTCCAGTTCCAGGGGCTTCAATGCACTCTCTGGCCTCTGTAGGCATTGTACATACATGGTGCATTGACATACATGTAGGCAAAACATTCGTATACATAAAAAATATAAATAAATAAATAAAAAATAATAAATTAAATAAATAAATAAATAAATAAAAGTGTAGCTATCCAGGAATGACCATGGAGGCAAGCTACACACCCACACCATCAGCTGTGTGTGTGTGTGTGTGTGTGTGTATGTATGTTATGTGTGGTGTATGTGTAGGTGGTATGTGTGTGCAGCTGTAATGTGGATGCCAGAGGACAACCTCAAGTGTTGTTCCTCAGATACCAACTATGTTTGTATTTATTTATTTATTGGTTTTTGGAGACACAATCTCCCTGTAACCCCAGCTAGCCTGGAACTCACTATGGAGACGAGGCTGGCCTCTATCTCAAAGATCTGCCTGGCTCTACCTTTTTTTATAAAAGGCAAAGTCTCTCAGTGGCCTAGAACCCACTGAGTAAGCTAGGCTGGCTGGACACCAAACTCCAAGGATCTGCCTGCCTCCATCTCCCCAGCACTGTGATTACAAACATGAGCCACCATGCTGGGCTCTTTTTTTTTTTTTTTAAGATTTATTTTTACTTTTAATTATGTGTCTACGTGGGTGGGGGGGGGAGGTATATGTACATGACTGCAACTGCCTGTAGGGTCCAAAGGAGGATATCAAAGACCCTAAAATTGAAGTTCCAGGCAATTTTGAGCTGCCCAATATGAGTGCCAGAAATCAAACTTGGGTCCTCTGCAAGAACAACCAGTGCTCTTAACCACCGAAGCATCTCTCCAGCCCTAGGTTTGTTTGTTTGCTTAACATGGATTCTAGGAATCAAATTTGGGCCCTCTTGCTTGCAAGGCAGGCAGTCCACCAACTGATCCATCACTCAGCCCCCACACCACCATTTCCAACATGGGAGATGCATTTTCTTGTTCTTTGCAGAGTTTGCATGATGAAGCATCTATTCTTAGTAATGAAATAATATCACTGGAGTTAGAGCAAGTCCAAGAAGTGTCTGTCCAATTGGCAGGTTCTCCCTGACCCTTAGACAGACAGAATAAAATAAATGGAGAGCACCAATACATTTAAAACTCCAGAAAGTGCATGAAAGAAAATGTTAATTCCTCACAATCCCACCACCCACTGCTTCCTTCCCACAATTACTTTTGCTTATAAATATTGTGTGGGAGATGGTGATGATCAAGCTAGTCACTTAAGCCACTTGTTATACTGAAAACATTCGTTAAATATGTTCGTTAAAACATAATGTCATAGGAAGAACAAGATTTCTGCTGGTTTGTTGTTGTTGTTGTTGTTGATGATGATGATTGTGAGTCACTGTATGGGTGCTGGAAACCAAACCTGGGTCCTCCACAAGAGCAGCCAGTGTTAACTGCTGAGCCATCTCTCCAGCCCCTCTACACTTTCTTGATGACAGATTATATGACAAATGTCCATTATAGATTAGATGAGGCTATTTAAGTGCCTGAAAATACATACATACATACATACATACATACATACATACATACATGCACTTAGGAATTCCTGACTGGTACTCTAAAATGATCAAAACCCATAGCTAGGGAAGCCATAGGTACCAGTGGAGAACCTCCTGATGGTGTCTTGCTAAATGGTCATGGTGTCAAACTGCCTTCTAAATATTTATGCTTATAGCCATAGATTAGTGCCCCTTTCAGCCTTGGCCACAGAAGCTGCTGATTGCAGTGAGTAGTGGTTAATGCAGAGACTCATAATTGGTCAACATTCTCATATTATGCAACTGTGAGGGCTCAGTCATAGATCGGACATCTACATCAACTCCACCCCTTCCCAAGGCTCAGGAAACATCATGGAGGAAGGGGGTAGAGAATGGAAGAGCTGGAGGATGGCTCAGAGTGCTGTGAAATGCTGTCTTCTGCACACTACAGTGCTGTTGCACTCAAACTCACTGCAGGTGTGGTTGCCTGCACAAGAGCCCCACAGGATCAAGCCAGGTAAAAATTTCAGCATAGGGGCTAGGGAGATGCTCAGTGGTGAAGAGCAATGACTGCTCTTGCAGAGGACCCATTTGGCTCCCAGCAACCACATGGCAGCTAAAGCCTGGCCGTAACTCTAGACCCAGGGGATCCGACCCCCTCTTCTGGCCTCTGCAGGCACTGCATGCACATGGTGCACTTATACACATGCAAGCAAAACACTTATACACATAAAATTAAAACACATTGTTTAAAGATCTAGCATGTTTAAAGGAGGAGCTTCCAAGACCCCACCCCTTGCTCAGGGGCTCTTGTAATTAATGGCTATGAAAAGGAGAGTTACTTTTGCAGGAAGTGGCCACTGATATGTTGCCCATACCTGGTGGATGACACGATGACCCCACACCCATACGCATATGGGCAGAATTAATTGAACTCCATGTGTTAAAAGATCAAATTAGACTTCTTTAAGAATCCCTCAGAGTGGCCCCCACCTGTCTCTCCTGTCTTACTTCCTCCAGGAGCTGAGTGTGTCTCACCTGTCTTTCCCTGGATTCTCCTACTCGATTGCTTCCTAAGACCTCATCCTGTCATTTTTCAAAAATATTTTATTTTTATTCTGTGTGTGTGAGTGCTTTGCCTACAGATATGTACGTTCACCTGTGCATGCAATGCCAGCAGAGGCCAAAAGAGCTGCGTCGGATCCCCTGGAACTGGAGATACAGATGGTTAAGAGCGGCCAGTGCTCTCAACAGTTGAGCCATCTCTCCAGGCCCCCACTTCATATTTTAAGATATAGACTGAAGAGACATTGCTCCTATTCTCTTCCAAGAATTTGGCAACACCGTATTCCTTTGATCAAGCTGTCCTTTTCACATCATACTAGAAATGCTGCTTAGGAGTGATAAGATTGGGCTTAAAAAGGCAGTTCTGACTGGGAATACAGCTCATTAGGGACAGTACTTGCCTAGACTGCATGAAGCCCTGGGTTCAATCCCCAGCACTGCACAAGAACTAGATAGATGACTTAGTGGTTAAGAGAGCATACTACTCTTCCAGACCCAAATTCCATTCCCAACACCTGTAGTAGGTGGTTCACAACCACCTGTAAGTTCAACTCCAAGGTATCTGACCGCTCTGGCCTCTGAAGACAACCCCACCCGCACATACACATATCCACACACACACAGGTCAAAACTGTGACTGACATACATACACATAATTAAAAATGAAATACTTTCAAAGAGAAAGTCCTCCAGTACAGCATGGGGAGCCACGGTACCTGGCCCCAGGCACTGTTTTGCACACACAGGCAACAAGTGGAAAGGTGCTGAGTGGGCAGATGCACAGAAGGAAACTGAGGTACAGGGGAAAGGCCCAGGAAGTACTCCCTTGATTGCATAGTTTAGGAAGAGTGTGTTAGTTAGAAATGTCCCCACATTCATGTCCAGATTCCATTTCCCAGTGAAGGTGTGTAGTTGGTGAATTTTTGAAGCATCCAGGCTCAAGAGCAGCAGTTGATCACATGCAAAAAAATAAGCCACAGAAATCCCTGAGATTTGGGGCTCATCCTCCCCCTCCCTACCCTAACTGAGATGCCAGCCCTGCACTGAATAGCCTCGAGGGGCCACGGCGGTGCCCGGTGGCTAAGTCATACCTAGGGTCCTCAGCACCAGTGCCTGAAGAGGTTTTTCTGTGAAAACAAAATTGACCACTTTGAAGACAGAAGAAAATTCATCTGAGAGACCATTTGACTCTGACACTCTGGAGGCCATGTTACACCTAAGCAAGGCATCTCCCATGTTTGGAATATGGTTTGACTGTGTTTCCCCACAGGGTCCATGAACTGGGAGTTAGGTCTTCAAGACAGTGCTAAGAAGTGGTAGTCCCTTTAAGAGGCAGGGCCAAAGGAAAGTCTTTATTGACTCCTCCCCAGGCTTGCTCGGGCTTCCTGTCTTACCATGTGATAGCCCCCCCACTCTGATACCATGTTCCTTGATTATGTAGCTTAAGCTGCCCAGATCCATGGAGTCACCTGATCTAGAACTTTCAACCACCTCAGCTGTGATGTAAAGGTACTTTCTTCTTTATTCAGTCTTGCGTATTTTACTGTAGTAACTGAAAGGAGACTAATAAATGTCCTGACTTTGACTGCCTAGCACTGGTTGGTGGGGATGAGCTACACCTTTCCCAGGGTGCTTGGAATCCAGGAAATGAGAAGAAAAGGAAGGGGAAAGTTGAGTCCACCTGCTGTAATGCCCGTGGACATCAAATATGACTACGCTTGGCCACAGCATCCTGGTCATCTCTTCAAGTCCAGCACCATTTTGGTTTTACTTTTTGGGTGTGTTGGTGTATATGTTCATTTGGGTGTGGGTGCAGGGGTATGTCCATGCATGTGCAGGTCAGAGGACATCGTCAGCCATTGTTCCTTGGGTGCTATCTACCTTCTTTTTGAGACAGTCTCTCACTGGACTGGAGTTCACCAAGTTGGCAAAGATGGCTTACTATGCAGCCCTAGGAATCCTGTCTCCACCTCCCAAATGGCAGGATTACACACTTGTGCCACACATTGAGCTTTTAAAAATTTATTTATTTTGCCGGGCGTTATTTTATGTGTATGAGTTCTGTCTGCATGTAAGTGTTTCACATGCATGCAATGCCCACAGAGACCAAGAAAAGGGCATCCCCTGGAATTGGAGTTATGGATAGTTGTTAGCCACCATGTGGGTGCTAGGAACCAAACCCGGGTCCTTGCAAGAGTAACCAGTGCTCTTAACCACTGAGCCAGTTCTCCAGCTCCACATCCAGCTTTTTAAACACGGGTTCTGGGGATGGAACTCAGGTTCTCGTGGCTGTATGGCAAGCACTTTACTGACTGAGCCATCTCCCTCACCATGGGGGAAATATAAAAAAGAAGAAACATGAACATACTGATGGTTCTGGAGACAGAGCTCACTGGATGGGAAGCATTGGTGGACAACAGGACACATTTTAGAACTTTGTTCTGTCCGAAAATAAACCTTCTGGAGTTTTGATACACTGTGAAAGTGGGTAACTACATCAGATTGGGGGGGGGGAGCATTTGCTTAAGAGGGAAGGAGAAAAAGATGGGAAAGTACAAAGGAACTTAGTAATAGGCACTCGAAGCTCATGTTCTTGGAAACATCTGGAAGTTTCTAGAAGTTTGGGTTTTTTTTTTTTTTGGAGGGGATATAATGTCTGGGATAAAGGGTATGAGGTGACTTGAATGATAAATGTTCCCCCATAGGCTCTCATATTTGAGCACTTAGTCTCCAGTTGGTGGCACTGTTGTGAAGATTTAGGAGGTGTGGCCTTGCTGAGGGAAATATGTCACTGGGGGTGGGCTTTGAGAGATCATAGCCTCACCGCACTTCCAGGTCCTCTTCTCTCCTTTCTGTGAGTGCTTGTGGATGTAAGCTCTCAGCTTTCTGCTCTTCCTCCTGCCATCAAAACCCCCTCCCTCATCAAGATGGACCTTTATCCCTCTGGAACCATAAGCCAAATAAACTTTTCCTTCTATAAGTCGCCTTGGTCATGGTGTTTAACCATAGCAACAGAAAAGTAGCTAATACAAGTGTACTGGAATCGAGTGGTTGGAGACCAAAATGCTGCTCAGCACCGTATAATGCTTGGATGGCTCCCCTAGACAGTAATCTAGCTCCAAGTGTGCAGTGTCAAGCTGGAGAGTCACTGCCACTCAGTCTCATAGCCGTAGCATAGAAGAAATCATTATAGTCAGCCCTTGAGATCCACGAAATACACATTCTTGAATTCAACTAACTATGGGTCAAAACGACTGGGAGATATGCCAAACAATGTGCCCACTGGTGAGCAGTGGCATAAACCTTATGGCAGTAACCAACCGCTCTCTGCTTGGATTTTGAAGCCTGCTCCACAGGAAGAAAGTCATGCCTGGTACTATAAACCTGGTCAAAAGTCCATGGTTGAGAGCTCATAGGCCCTAGAAGGGAACCTACTACTGTTGTTTTGCTCTATGGACATGTTGTCAAACTGCCTTCTAAATATTTATGTCTATATCCAGAGATTAAGTGCTGCTCTCAACCCTGGTCAGAGAAGCTTCTTTCTACAGTGGGTGGCAGTTAATGCAGAGACTCATAACTGGTCAAAGTGCTGAGACTAAGTAACTCTGAATGCTCAGCACTAACTGGGATATCTATATCAACCCCACCAAGACTCAGGGAAGAGTGGGGAGAAAGACTGTGGAAACTGGAGGAAGATGGGGAGGAGTGCTATGCAATGCTATCTTCTGGGCATGAACTCATTAACTGACAGAAGCTGTGGTTATCTGCACAAGACCGGCACAAGATTAGGCCAACAAGATCAGTTAATAGTCCAGCATGCAACACTACCTGGACTCAGTGGGAGGGAGAGGAGAAGGAGAAATGGGGGAGGGAGGAAGAGGTGTGGGAAGATGAAGAGAGGATGGGGAGAGAAGACAAAGAGGAGGAAGAGAACATGAAGGTGTGAGGGAATATATGGGGCATCTGGGGGGACTTGAAGGGGGGCCTCTGGGATGGACATGATCAAGATACATTGTATATGCATAAAACTGTCAATGGATAAATAAAAATTACAGTAAAAGTTTGCATCTGTACTGAACACATCCAGGCTTTTTCTTATCCTGAGCATGCGGCTAGCATGCAGATGGTTTGGAGGTGTTGTAAGAGATGATTTAAAATCTGAGATGTTAGTGGGTTCTATGTGGGTACTACAGCATTTCTATAAAAGGCTTGAGCACCCTCAGCTCTAGTACTCTCAAGCTCCTAGAACCAAGCCACTAGAGGCACCAAAACTCAACTGCACTATGTCCATTCTGCATATGAGGAACCCGAGGCACAGACAGATAAGGTAACCTGCTCAAACCAGTATGTATAAGAGCAGGGAACCCAGATAGCTTCTAGTGTCCCCGCCCTCAACAGCTCCCCCGTTCTGTAAGAAATGCACAGGGATGGACCCATCTAACCTAGATCCATAAATGTAGCCTCCTGGTTTTCTCAGCTCACATCAGGCAAGGGAAAAAAAAGAAACCTGAAACTCAGCAGGTAGATGCCCCGAGTGTAGGCATGTATGTGTATGCGTGCATGTGTGTATGTGCATGTTTCCATGTGTGCATACTTGCATGTGTGTGTGAATGCTTGTGTATTTGTATGCTTGCATGTCTGTGTGCATGCATGAACGTGTGCATGCTTGAATGCATGCGCTTGCTTGCATGTGTTTGCATGTGTGTGCATTGTGTTTGCATGTGTGCACGCAGGTACACATGTATATATGCATGAGTATGGATGCCAGAGGACAGCTTTCATTGTAGTTACTCGGGTGCTATGTACGTTGTTGAGATAGCCTCTCACTGGCCTGGAGGTCATTAGACTAAACTGGCTGGTGAGTGAGCTGCAGGGATCCTCCTGTATCCACCGCCCCAGTGCTGGGATTATAAGCACTTGCCACCATGCCTGGCTTTTTATGAGGGTACCAGGGACCAAACTCATGTCCTTGACCTTGTATAGCAAACACTTTACCAACTGAGCCATCTGCCCAACCCCAGACAAGGCTTTTTCCTCCTCTATCGAGGAGTACAGGATTGAACTTAGGCCCCACTCACCCCACTACAGGGGCTCACTGGGGCTCATATGATTGTATTCTCCAAATACTGACAGCCTCCCCAATGCTGAGCTGATAGACAGAAAGACACATGCAGAGTCCTGACCTGGGGACAAAAACCACATTGTGCAGGTAATCCTCAAAGGTCTTCCTAAACGAGGACTCCTCCAGCTCCTTCAGGATCTGGGAATCGGTCTTTGGGCACGAGCAGCATTCACCAGCTGCGTCATCGTACTCACTCTGATTGTGCTTCTGTGAGTCATCAGACTCAAAAGGTGGGGACCAGGTCCTTGAGGGGAGCTTCAGCCCTAGGGAAAGGCAGAGCAGAGGATCTCAGGTCTCCTCTAGAATAAACCCATGGACATGCACACACATCATACACAAAGATGCATAAAAACAAATACAACACACATATCACACACACATACATTCACATACACACAAAACACAAAGGTCAAACACACAGCACACAAATAACAAACACACACACCTCACAGGGGGTGCCGGCCTAGTTCCCTGTCTAGGGAATAAGGCAGAGAGTAGAGCAGGACACCCCGCGTCCCCATCTGACTTTCACATGCATGCACATGTAGTCTTCAAGAAGCCCACTTCTGCATATATGCAAAAAAGCATTGAAAACAGAGACTTAAAGAGATATTTGCACACCTGTGTTCACAACAACATGATCATAGCCCAAAGGTAGGAGCTGCCAGCAGTGGACCAGTGTGCTGGATGGCTTCAGTTGTCAACTTGACATACACTCTAGAGTCCCTATTCTCTAAAACTTAGCCAGTTGTGGCCTGTGTACATCACACTCTGTTGTGTAAGGAAGCTTCGTTGGTAAGAGTTGAGAGATATGTTAGTATTCTCTCTACCCCCTGTTCTGCTATGTTCCATGAGCCTAAGGTGTAAAGGTTCCACTGTAGATATGTCACCCTAGGACGGGGCATCTCTCAGACATATAGTCTCTGTATGTGACCCATTGTGGAACTCTGCAGTAACCTCCATATGTTGCAGAAATAAGTTCTTTTGATGAGTGGTGTATGGTAGTACACTTGCCTGTAAATATAAGGGTCCATATTTCGCATATGGTAAGAAATTTCATTTGTCTAGAGATGTGACAGATATAGTTTTCTCTAGGATCTATGACCATCCAGCCATGTATATTTGGCTGTTTTTAGAGTGTCACCCATGAATTCACTCTCATTAGGGGGGCTTTAAGTCCAATGAGATAGCTATTGATTACCCCCCAGATAACAGTGCCACTACTGCACCAAGAGAGGTAGTTCGCTGTGCCAGTCATTACAGTTACTGGGCTTTAGGGAGGGTTGGACCATTGATTGATCCTCTCCCTTAGCAGCCTGCACAATATCCTCTAGAACTATGAGAGCTAAACTTCAGGTAGAAGGCTTCCTGGTCAGTTTCTGCTCTGTTGTTCCAAGTCCTACATCCAAAGTACTCCTGTCTTGAGCAGTAAGGTCTTATCTTCAAGTCCTGAGAGATAACCAAGAGATCTGGCAATAGCCTGTATTATTTTGGGAGTCTCTTAGACTACTCCGACCAGCCACTCAAAGGGACATCTCTCCTGTCTGGCACTGTGTTCCTTGCCATACAGCCCCCAGGTATACACATGCACTAATGTTCAGACACGGTATGTGCACTTCTCAGGGCATTCCCAAGCCAACACATTTCTCTGTCTTCCCTAGCCCTGCAAGCTCCATTCATCTCTCCTCTCTCTCCCACCATCCAACCTCCCTCCTCCTTCCCCAAGGATCCCCCTCCTGAGTTTGAAACCACCCTGGGTTACATTGTTCCAAAACTGAACAAAGTAGCCAGGCCGGATGAGGCACACTTTCACTCCCAGGATACAGAGGCAGGCGGATCTCTGTGAGACAGAGGCCAGCCTGGTCAACACAGTGAGTTCCGAGTCTCTCCTGTCTGGCACTGTGTTCCTTGCCATACAGCCCCCAGGTATACACATGCACTAATGTTCAGACACGGTATGTGCACTTCTCAGGGCATTCCCAAGCCAACACATTTCTCTGTCTTCCCTAGCCCTGCAAGCTCCATTCATCTCTCCTCTCTCTCCCACCATCCAACCTCCCTCCTCCTTCCCCAAGGATCCCCCTCCTGAGTTTGAAACCACCCTGGGTTACATTGTTCCAAAACTGAACAAAGTAGCCAGGCCGGATGAGGCACACTTTCACTCCCAGGATACAGAGGCAGGCGGATCTCTGTGAGACAGAGGCCAGCCTGGTCTACACAGTGAGTTCCGAGCCAACTGGGGATACAGGGAGACCATGTCTTAAAAACAAAAACAAAACAAAACAAAACAAAACACATTTGAAATTTGCCCTGTTCTGACCTTTTTCTAGTTCCCTGTCTAGAACTTGCAATGCAAACTACTTTTGCCTTTACTTCTCTTCCACATCTCCTATCATAATTCAAAGACGTTCCTTTCCCCCTCGAGATAAAAGTTATGTAATTTGGGAGTCTTTTAGATAGGCCCACTGAAGGGGTACTCCAGTTGCCTCACTCTGCATCCCAGTTCAGCATGGAAGAAGCCAGAGCAGTCTGCATCCCGATTCCCTATCAGCAATTTGGATAACCTGTTCAGAGGATGGTATTATAAGAATAGGATGTAGGAATTGGCTAGGCAGTTAGGGTAAAAAGACCCCAAAGAAAAGTAGCCAGTTTTTTGGCTAAAAGTCAAAATGTCCTTGGGCCTCTGTTTCAGTAAATTTTCCCCTCCCCCTTCTTGGGAGACTCGCACCCGTGTCCTCTGAGACCCCAGGTCTGACAGACAGACATAAGACATTCTATTTGGATTTTTCATAGTTCATATGCCATTTGGGAGGGAATGACTTGCAAAGACATGGATTCTTGTAGGCTTTTCCTTTTCCATATTTGAAATGCATGTGCCAACTATCTCCCGCCTCCGTCTCTCCTCATTCTCCATTTGCCCGACCTCAATATGGCGGTGCCTCCACCCCTTTTTTCCCACTGTGCTCCACCTCGCCCCTCCCTTGCCCTCTGCTTCCAAAATGACACCAACTCCTCTTTTTTCCCAGTGTGTTCCGCTTCTCTCTGGGTCTCTAGACCCACCCTATGCAGTTACTCAACAGCCTCTTAGCAACATACTCTGTTCCAAAGGCTTTCAAAAATGTCAAACGTATTTGGGAGCGCTTATCTAATCTCTGAAAGATTTTAGGGTTACCTCTTCAGAGGAGGTGACATTAGAATAGCAAAAACGCCCCATAATTTTAACTGGTCAAGACTATAAACTCCCTAGTCTATCTGTTGAAGGACCCACCTTATCTCACCAGTCAATAACCTGGTGATAGAACCACCCTTAGGAAGGTAGGTTCACCTTAATCTATGCTAAATAATCTGGTGCGTTAATGAGGTAGCGAACTTTTCCTGCCTGGAATCCCGCCTTGTAACACAGAACTCCACAGAAACTTCTGACCAGCCACTGTCATGCAGGTCCCTGTAAGTCTGTCCACTTTCTGCCGTTTGGGTCCATTCTTTAATTCTTTTATGAATGAGACTAAGAGCCCTCTAGGGGGCCCTCTTTCCCCCCATTTCAGTACAGGCCAAAACTATGGACATCTGGCGTCTTACTTTAATTAAGAGACAAAATTACCTACAGTAACAGCATGTGAAGGTGCTTTGCAGACAATGATAGACTGGCACCATCCTTTGAAATATTCTGGAAAAAAATTCATTTTGTACCCTTTGTATGTTTAGAATGTAGCATTATCAGAAACCCACAATAAAATAAAACGGCAAAAAAAAAAAAAAAAGCAGAGGCTGGAGAGATGGCTCAGTGGTTAAGAGCACTAGTTTCTGCAGAGGACCTAAGTTCAATTCCCAGCACCCACATGGTAGCTAACAACTGCCTGTAACTCTAGTTCAAGGGAATCTGATGCTCTCTTCTGGCCTCCACAGGCATTTCACACATGAGATGCACTTATACATGCAGGCAAAATACTCATACACATAAAATAAGAATAAATATGAATACAAAAAAAAATTGTCATTGCTCTTTAAAAGAAAAAAAAGCAAACCTCCACCACCTGCTGGCAGTGCCGCCAGCTGGTAGTTTCAGACACCAGAATGCAAAGCTAACAGGTAGGAGCAGAGCCCAGGATGGGCTTGCTCTCCAGTCATACAAAATACACAAGGGGACAGATGAAGCTTGGGATCCCAGCTGGGGCAGGAATGATGTCATAGGCACGCATATAGTACATGATCTTAGAGCTGGAAATGTTCCCAGAGATCATCTGCCCTCCGCCCATCTCCACAAAAGGAGACAGTAACTTACTGGGTGACCTAGCCAAAACCAAGCAGCAGGCCAGGGGCGGGGCAGAGAGCAGACCACAGCTACATGCCCCAGTAGCCCCCCCTTGGCGTTCTCCTCCAAGGTCACAGGCTGAGGATAAGAAAATGAATTAAAGACAAACCAACAGACTAAAAGAAAACAAATTTTCCAGCTTCTCTGATTTGATGATGGGTTGTTTAAGGTTCTAAATTGCATTTAATTATTTGTGTGTGTACATATGGGCATATGCATGTGGAGGTCAGAGGACAACTTGTAGGAGTCAGTTCTTTTCATCATGTGAGTTCCAGGATCGAACTCAGGTCCCTCAGCTTGGCAGCAAGCATCTTTACCTACTGTGCCATCTCAACCACCCCATTTTGCTTTATTTTTATAACCTATTTTTTGTTGTTGTTGCTGTTTTTCTATTTTGTTTATTTTGGCTTTTGTTGTTGGTGGTTGTGGTGGTGGTGGTGTTTGGTTGGTTTTAGTTTTTTTTAATTTTATTTATTATTTTTATTTTATGTGCATGAGTGAATTGGCTGCATGTAAGTGCACCCTTGTCACACAATGCCCACAGAAGTCAAAAGAGGGTGTCAGATCCCCTGGAACTGGAGTTATTGAAGGCTGTTAGCCACCATGTGGGTGCTGGGAACCCCCCCAAGTACTCGTCAAGAGCAGCCAGTGCTCTTAACCACTGAGTCAGCTCTCCAGCCCTGGTTTCTGATTTTTTGAGCCAGGGTCTCCTTGTAGACCCAGCTGGCCTGGAACTTGACTGCCTGTGCCTCACAGAGATCTGCCTGCCTCTGCCTCCAGAGTGCTGGGATTAAAGGCGAGGGCCATTTTGAAATACACAGTGTGCTTACGTGCAGCACCTCTCCAGAACATGTGCATACACTGCTCCTTTGTAACCACTGCCCAGTCTGTGCGGCCACTCCACACAGACAAGCTCTTTCAGCCTCTGCTACCCAGTACTGTGAACATTTTGAATGTTCTAGTCAAAAAAAAAAAAAAAAATGATGAAGGTTTAAAGCCATACATGCATTACTCAAATTTGATTTTTGCATTTTTATACATGTCTAAGAACTATGTGGCTCATGGTTGAATGCAGCATTGTGTGTTTCATGGTTCTATCTGGCCTTTGTTTTGCAGTCATAGGTCTGAACACAAGGCTTGTACACACTAGGCACTTGATCCCCCACAGCCCTATATCTGATTTTTGGCAGTTCCCAGAGTGTGAAACTCTGTGCGATGCTTAAAACTGTACGTGTGCAGGGTTGAAGAGATGGCTAAGCAGTTAAAAGCACTGGCTGCTCCTGCAGAGGACCTGGATTTGGTTCGTAGCACCTATACAGCAGCTAATAACTGCCATTAACCCCAGTTCCAGGGGATCCAATCCCCTCTTCTGGCCTCTATGGGCATTGCATGACATGAGTGTACTTGCACGCAGGCAAAATATTCATACACATAAAATTAAAATAAATAAATCAAAAATACATAAATGGATAAATGTATATATGTGCACTGGAAAGATGGCTCAGATGGTAAAATGCATGCCATGCAAACATGAGGGGCTGGCTGAACACAAAAAGCTGGGTATGGTAGTGTGGGCTTGAAATCCCAGCCCTGGGGAGGTGAAGACAGGCAGGTCCCTGGGGCTCTGCCAGTCTAACTTGTTTAGTGAGCCCAGGCCCTATGTTTAAAAAAAAGAAATGTGAGGTCTGGGACTGCAGCTCAATAGTGGAACACTTACCTAGCATGCATAAGGCTCTGGGTTCAATGCCATGGGGGTAGTAAGATGACTCAGCAGGTAAAAGCACTTGCAGCTAAGCCTGAGTTGGATCCCTGGGACCCACATAGTGGAAGGAGAGAACTGACTCCTGCAAGTTCTCCTCTGACCTCCACACATATACCATGACACCAGAACATACACACACAAAAAAATAAATACATACATAAACGCAATAAATATTTTAACTTTTTAAATGTACATATGCACGTAGGCAAGTTCATATACGTAAGTGCACCTGTGTGTGCAATGCCCGTGAAGGCCAGAAGAGGGTGTCAGAGCCCCTGGAACTGGAGTTACAGACAGTTATGAGCCACCATGTGGGTGCTGGGAACCAAACCCGGGGCCTCTGCAGGAAGTGCTCTTAACTGCTGAGTCACTGGTCCAGTCCCATAAAAATATTTTTTTTTTAATTCAAAGAAAAAAATTGAGCCAAGATGTAGCTCTATTGGTAGTGTCTACACTCACACAGACCTGGGTTTAAATCCCCAGCACTGCATAAACTAAGGGTGGTAGGACATGCCTATGATCCCGATACTTAGACGATAGAGGCAGGAAGACCAGAATTTCAAGGTCATCCTCAGCTACACAGTGAGTTTACGCCAACCTTGGCTTCAGTGAGACCCTGTCTCAAAAAAACAAGCAAGTGAAAAATTAAAAAACAAGATGTATCACATCCTTGGAACTTATACCCAAGGTTGTGTCCTCTGACCTCCACACATACACACACACACACATACACGTACTTGTACACATACGAACATACATACAACATACAAATGTGTGTGTGTCTGGTCTAAGACAAAAATGGAGTATGAGTCTGTGTGCACAGATGTACACTCTGGGAAACAGGAATAGAGACGTCTCCCTCTTAAGGGGAGCAAAGTGTAGCCAACCCCATCACAGCCACCTACACTTACCTTTGAGACAATAATCCAACTCGAAAAGCTCACTGTCTTCCGCCTGCCTCTCCCAGTATACCAAATAGTGAGTGATGTTGCCATTGGGGTCTGATGGGGGCTTCCATTTCAAGATAATCTGGGATGAGGAATTAGAAACTGATATGGGATCCAGGGGAACGGAAGGATCTGCAAAGGAGAAAAGAGATGGATTTACTGTGAGGAAGAATGTGGAAATTGTCGGGAGATGTTTAACTTTGGAGAAAACTAGACACATGTCAAATGCTTGCCCAACCAGGGCAAGCGTGACCAAATCACAGTCTATTCATGCTAAGGATTATATGGCTGCCCTTCATTCATTTATGTGATAAAACTTTGACCAACAGCTGATATTTTTGCCAAACTCTCTCTGTTCTGGGCACTGGGAAGATGTTCCCAGAGGCCAAGAGACAACGGCAGGAAGAAACCAGGAAACTTACAGGTTTCAATTAACATCTACACCAAATTAAACCCAATCACTTGGAGAACTCAAAACCACCAAACTATTTTGTTGTCTGTTGGTTTCTTTTGAGATAGGGTCTCATGTGTAACCCAGGCTGGTCTGAAACTCACTATGTAGCCAAGGATGACCTTGAATTCCTGATCCTCCTGCCTTAATCTTCCAAGTGCTGGGATGACAGGCATGTGCCACCATGTATGATTTATGGAGTCCTAGGGATGGAATCCAAGGCTTGATGCATGCTAGACAAGCATTCTGTCAGCTGTGTCCCAGCCCTAGAGCCTGTTATTCAGGAGAGCTGGCTCAGCAGTTAAGAGCACTGGCTGCTCCTGAAGAGGACCTGGGTTTGATTCCCAGTACCCACATGGCAGCTACCAACTGTCCTTAACTCCATTTCCAGGGGATCTGATGCTTTCTGGCCTTCACAGGCATTACACACATGGGTACACTTACATGCAGGCAAAACACTCACACATAAAATAGAAATAAGTCAATGGAATGGTGGTAGGGCTGGAGAGATTAAAGCACTTGCCACACAAGCATGAGGACCAGAGTTCAAATCCCCAGCACCGACATAAATGGTTGAGTGGGTGAGGCAGCCAGCTCTGGTTTGCCTCAATCTGTAAGGTGGGGAACCATGGAGGAAAATGCCTAATGTCAATGTCTGGCCTCCTCAAATACATGCATGCATGCCTACACATACATGTGCATCTACACACATGCACTCACACATGTGCACCATACATGTACATAAGAAATTATCCTTTGAGGCAAGGTCTCCCTGTAGTCCCAGCTGGCCTGGAACCCACTATGTGGACAAGGCTAGCCTCAAACTCACAATGATTCTCCTGCCTCTGCCTCCCAAGTGCTGGGATTCAAGGTGTGCACCACCATGCTCAGCAAAAGAAATTTTTTCAAAAAGAGGCTGAGAGAATTGGAGAGGGGAGGATAAGGAATTCTCGAGCCTGAAAGTACAGAGTATGTAAAGACCAGGAAGCTAGAAGCTTCTGGAAATTAAACTTGGTTAGAGATACAGGTTGAGAGTGGAGAAGGGGAAGAAACCAGGGCTAGCTGATGAAGTTTGTATTCTGGGAGTGGGCTCTTACTTTCTGCACCATTGATATTTCGGGGCTGATAATTCTTTGTCATGCAAAGGCCATCCAGCGCATTGGGGTTTAGTGACTTTCCATTAAATGCCAGCCATCCCACTTCCTCAGCTGTGATCACTAAAAATGTCTATAGACAATGTCAAATACCCTCCCTTCCCTGGGAGGGGCAAAATAATCCTTATTTGACGAGGACTGTGAAGTAAGTTTTGCAAAAATATAATTAAGTTGCTCTGAGACACTATAGCAAAAAAAAAAAAAGGTAGGAGGAGGGGGAAAAGATTGAGATAAAGCAAGAATTACACAGTGTGAGGGGCTAGAGAAATGGCTCAGTGATTAAGAGTGTGTACTGCTCTTCCAGAGAACCTGAGTTTGGTTCCCAGCACCCACGTGAGGCAGCTCACAACCACCTGTAACTACAGCTCCAGGGGAGCCAACATCCTTTTCTGTAATTACATAGGCACTGCTCTCACACACATAAACCAACTCTCAGGCACACACATATACACATATTTTAAAAACAAACAAGAAATTACACAGTGTGGAAGCTAGGATACTTACACAAAGTTATTCTATGTTTGAAAAGGACAGGATGGAAAAAAAATCTTCAGTAGTCCCTCCCCCCCTTACCCATGAGGGGCCACTCTGCATCTCCAGTGGGTATTTGACAAGGGCAGCACTGAACGGTGTGCATATTTTCCCCACACATACACACCTATGCTAAAGTTTAATTTATAAAATGACAGATATTAACAATACCAATAATAAAATGAACAATTTAAGGTGATATACAGTGACAGAAGTTTCTTTTGTGTTATTATTTTCTCCTTTTCTGAGACAGGGTCTCAGAAAAGGTCTCAGCTTATGCTGTCTTCAAAGTCACTATGTAGCTTAAGATATCCCTGAACTAATCCTCCTGCCTCCACCTCTCAAGTGCTAAAGTGACAGGTTTCAGCCACAGGAAGCTGTTTGTTGTTGTCTGAGGTTTGGGTTTGAGGTTCTTTGTTTCTGACAATGTCTTGCTCTGTAGCCTAGGCTGGCCACACACTCACAGCAGTCCACCTGCCTCAGCCTGTAAAGTGATGGAACTACAGATGTATATGACCATGCCTAGCTTTCTTTTTTATTAATTGTTTATTTACTCATTTGGTTAGTTATTTTTAAACTTGTTCTTGATGTGTAGTCCAGGCTGGCCTTGAACTCCTCCTGGTCCTTCCAAATTCTGAGACTACAGGCATGCACCAACATGCCCAATGTTAATAGAAATGTTTTGAAAGTTACATAAACTGTTTTATTCTAGTATCTTCCATTGACTATTTTGGGGGTATGATTGATCTCCAGTAAACTGGAACTGCAAACGAGCAAATCTAAGCATGGAGGGGATACTATATGTCTCTTCTAAGATGTTCACATTCCTATTAGCATATATTAATTGAATATCATAATGGGGTGTGTTATGACATTTTCATACAGGTCTATAATGTACTTTGGTCGTGTTCACTCTCCATTGCCCTCTTGTCTCCCATTTCCCCACCCTCTTCCTCCTCCTAACTAGTCCCTGCTTCTCTTTTCATGGTTGGGGGGGCGGTTTACAGGAGCATGGGCTTCTTACCAGTGACTACTTCACTAAAGCAAGTGTCTCCCCCTCCCCAGCAGCATTAACTATCACTTAGGGAGGATCTTGTGAGCCCCAATGCCTAACAACTGTTAACGGTCTATCAAACCTCAAGGAGGGGAGAACTTTGTGAGTCCACCTCCTAGCAACCACTAACTGTCTTATTAATACTTAGGGAAGGGAGGGCCTGGTGAGCCCCGCTCTCTAGCAACTGTTAACTGTCTATCAAACCTCAGGGAGGGGAGGACCTTGTGTGCCCACGCCCTAGCAACTGTTAACTGTCTATCAATACTTAGGGAAGGGAGTGTTTGGTGAGCCTTGCCTCTAGCAACTGTTAACTGTCTACCAGTACTTAGGAAAAGAAGGACCTGGTGAGCCCTGCCCCCTAGCAACCATTAACTACCTATCAATTCTCAGGGAGGGGAGAAGTAGGTAAGACCCAGGGAGTTGACTTAATGAGGCCCTCCTCCTTCTAGGACAGAATGTTGACAGGCTCAATCTTGTGCACATAATCACAGCTGCTATGAGTTCAAAAGTGCACTCTGTGTGTGCGCGTGCGTGCGTGCGTGCGTGTGTGAGTGTGTGTGTGTACACATCATGGGAGGACGTGGGGTATCCTGCTCTATCACTCTCCACCTTACTCCCTTGCCACAGGGTCTCTCACTGAACCTGAAACTAGGCTGGTGGCCAACACCCCAGAGATCCTCCTGACTCTGTCCTCCATTCATGGTTGGCTTCAGTCAAAACTTGACACACCCAGGAAGAGGGAACTTCAACTGGGGAACTTTTTCTGTAAGACTGACCCATAGGTATGTCTGTGAGGCATTTTCTAAATTGTTGAGTAATGTGGGAGGGCCCAGCCCACTGTGGGTGGTACCACCCCTGGGCAGGTGGTCCTGGGTTGTATAAGAAAGCAGTCCTAGGACACGCCAGAGAAGCAAGTCAGTAAGCAGCCTTCCTCCATGGTCTCTGCTTCAGCTACTGCCTTGGCTTCCCTCAGTGATGGACTGGCACTTGGAAAAGTAAGATTCAATAAACCTTTTCCTCTTCAAGTTGGTCTTGGTCAGTGTTTTATCACAGCAATAGAAAGTAAACTATAGCAGGCATACACATGGCCACACCAGCTTTGTATTTAGGTACTGGGGATTTGAACTCAAGTCCTCATGCTTGCACAACATATGCTCTTACCCACTAAGCTACCTCCCAGTCCCCAGAGTGAACTCTTTAAACTTTTTTTTGATTTATTTTTATTTTATGTATATGAGTGTTTTGCCTGCACGTATATAAGTGCACCACATCCATGCCAAGCCCGCAGAGGCCAGAGAGTGTCAGATCCTCTGAAACTGGAGTTAGGGAAGTTGTTAACCACCGTGTAGCTGCTGGGACCTGAACCCAAGTCCTCTGCAAGAACAGCCAGTGCTCTTAAATACATAGCCATCTCTCCAGCCCCCAAGAGTGAACTCTAACTCCGAGGTAGTTGTGTCTACATTATCCTCTAAAAACACAAACTCAGTCTTTAGCATCTCTAGAAACCAACTGCCATAGGATAGAGCCTGTCTCAAGCCATCACTGCACTCCCAACCAAAGGCACCAGAATCAATTCAACAGCAAGCCCATATTCACAAGACACTTACTGGTGGCATCTGTCTGAACATAGATGATGTCACTCTTGGCCCCATAGGTCCGGCGTTCATCAGAGAAGGTCACCAAGGTCTTGACAAAGATAGCATACTGGGTCCAGGGCTTGAGGCCCCGCATCAGCCACCCAGGGTGGTTCTGGGACTTGGGATCATTGGACCTCTGGGGTGGGTCAATATCTACCACGGTCCAGCTGTTGGAACCACATGCATCCTGCCCATCAAACTCTGTCACATTCTGATAAGGGCTTTGGAGACAAAATAGGGGGAGGAGGGTTACCTCAGTGTGAATATAAACGAATACATTTTGTGTGCGTGTGTGTCTGTTCATGGGGGTACACTTTTATGTGTGTGCAGCCAGAGGACACGCTCAGGTATGTTTCCTCAGGAGCCATACACCTTGGATTTGTGTCTGTTTATTGAGATAGGATCTCACTATGTAGCCCTGGCTAGCTTCACAGAGATCCTCCTGCCTCTGCCTCAGTGTTGGGACTAAACGCCTGACTCCCACCTTGTGTTTTCAGACACGGTGTCTCACTTGACCTGAAACTCACCCAGTAGGCTAGACTGACTGGCCAGCGAGCCCCAAAGATCCACCTGTTTCTGCTTCCTCAGGGCTGTGATTACAAGCACATGTAACCACACCTGGCTTTTTAAAAATGCACATGTGTGGGGCAGGAAGGCACAGAGGGAGACAGATCTCTGTGAGATTGAAGCCAGCCTGGTCTACATAGTGAGATCCAGGCTAGCTGGGGCTACAGGGAGACCCTATCCCCTCAGAAAATATGCATTTGTATGCATGTGTGTATATATGTGTATCTGTATATGTGTGGATGTGTAAGTGTATATGTGTGCACACGTGTGTGGTGGCCAGAGGTCAACATCAGTGTCTTCAATTATCTTCTAACTTATTTTTAATTGATTTTTTTTATTTTCACTTATGTGTATGTGTGCATCTGCGTGGAGGCAAAATATGCACAAGTGTGCAGGTGCCTGCAGAGGCCAGAAGAGGGGGTCTCAGATTGCTTGGAGCTGGAGTGACAGGCAGTTGTGAGTCACCCAATGTGGGTTCTGGGAACTGAACCCCAGTCCTCTGCAAGAGCAGTCAGTGCCCTTAACTGCTGAGCGATCTCCCCAGTCCCCACAAATTTCTTCTTGACAGTTGTTTTGTCACAGCAAGAAAAAAAAGGAATAAATACCCGCCTGTATCCCTTTACTTACGCCTCTTTGTAGAAAAGCATGAATCCCAAGAGGTCCCGGAAGTCGGGGGGCCAGTAGGGCTCCCATTTCAGCAAGATCTTGTCAAAAGATGTTCGAATGAAAGAAAATTTAAGCAATTCATTTTCACCTAGAAAAGTTCAAGTAAATAAATAAATAAAGCAGGCAATTGGAGTACTGAGTAGTTAGTTTTAGATCAGTGTGCAGCCTTGTGCACACTTGGGAGTGTCCTACTTCATCTCTGTGGCTGTGATAAAACACCCTGACAGAAAGCAACTTAGGAGAGAAAAGGAGTTTATTTGGCTCACAATTCCAGGTCACAGTCTACCACTCCAGCAAAGTCAAGACAGGAAGTGAGGTCACTAGCAGAGAGAAATGAGTGCTGGAGGCTGCTGCCGGCTGCTAACGCTCAGCTGACTTTCTCACTCTTATACAGGGCCCCACTTATGAGATGGTGCTGTGTACACCCTGGGAGGGTCTTCCCACCTCAGTTAATGAGCAAGACCATCCCCACAGACATGCCAAAAGGCCAACCTGTCCTAGATGATCCCTCACCAAGACACTCTTCCTGGGGCTGAAGACATAGCTCAGGGGTTAAGAGAACTGGCTGCTCTTGCAGTGGACCCAGGTTTGATCCCAGCACATACATGGTGGCCAAAAATCTGTAACTCCAGTTCCAAGGGATCCAACACCCTCTTCGGGCCTCCACAGGCATTGTACACATGGGTGCACTCACATACATGTAGGTAAAACACTCACACATATAAAATAAAAATTAATTAAACTTAACAAAAATCTCTCCTCCTAGGCGATTCTAGCTTGTGTCAAGTTGACAATTAAAACCAAACAACACCGGAAGCATTCGCTAGGCAGGGGGGCCTGACCTGTCTTAAGAGTTGAGAAAGATAGCTGAGCACAAGCTTAAAAGCAAGTGAGTGAGCATCCATTTCTTTCTGCTCTTAAACTGTGGATGTGATGTGACTAGCTGAAGTTCCTGTCTCAACTGCCCCACAATGATGGACTGTGATCTGGAATTGTAAACAGAAATAAACCCTTCTCTCTTAAGCTGCTTTATGGTCAGGGTATTTTATCACAACAAAAGAAATGAAACTAGGTCAGTCATAATGTACAGGAGGTACCTGGGGGGAGGGGTGCATGTGCATGCAGAAATCAGAGGACAATCTCAGCTGTCACTCCTCAGGTGCAATCATCTTGTTTATTTGAGATAGGGTCTCTTACTGAACTTGGCACTCACAGCTTTTTTGGCTAGAGTAGATGGCCAGCAACCCCCAGGGATCCTCCTGTCTGTACACTCACAGTGCTAGGATCACAAGTGGATGCTACTACACCCAGCTTTTTTTGAGACTGTGGTTCCTGAGTGTTGGGATTAAAGGTGTGAGCCACGAAGCCCAGCTAGTCCCCAGCTTTCTAATGTGGGTTCTGATGATCACAACTCAAATCCTCATATTTGTGCAGCAAGTACTTTACCAACTGAGCCTTCTCCCCAGCCCCTGACCTCAAGCCTGGCACTTCCCAGGTGATATGGACTCACGTCCATTCATGGACTTTGAAGCCCTCAGCACCAGCACCATGCCTGATGTTTCCATAGGAGGCGCCATGCACACCTGCAGTGCTTATGTGATATCATCCAGTGCCAGACTCTGTGCTTGGAACAACTAGTGCAAATAAGATATATAAAACCTGCCTCTGGAGGCTGAGGAGATGGCTCAGTTGGGAAAGTGCTTGTCTTGCACACATGGGGACCTGAGTTCCATTCCCAGAACACACACACACACACACACACACACACACACACAGAAGCCAAGCCTGGTGGTGCATGCTCATAATTCTACCTCTGGAAAGGTAGAAACAGGTGGATCCTGGCAGCTCTTCCAGCCAGCCAGCCTAGGCTACTCAGCCAGTTCCAACCCAGTGAAAGATATTGTTTAGAGAAAGAGAACCTAAGGAACAACACTCAAGACTGTCCTCTGGCTCAACACACATGTGTACATACACCCACTTTTACACACTGTGGTAGTCTGTATGAGACATGGCCCCCATAGACTCCAAGTACTGGAATACTTGGCCCCATCAGTGGTGGTGTTTGCAGAGCTTTGGGAGGCGCAGACTCGCTGGAGGAAGCAGTCCCTGGGAGCGGACTTTGAGAGTTGTTCACAGCCTTGCCCACTTCCACTTCACTCTCTGCTTCCTGAGCTGCTTGAAGATGTGAAGGCTCAGCTTTCTGCTCCAGCTGCCTCCTGCCATGATGGACTCTTAACCCTATGGAACCTTAAGCCCAATAAACTCTTCCCTCTATAAATTGCCTTGGTCATGGTGTTTTATCACAGTAATAGAAAAACAATAACTAATACACACCACGCACACATGTACACACACACACACACACACACACACACACAGAGAAACCTGCCTTTCCTGTTTGAGAAACCCTCTCCACAGTGAAGTTGTAGCTCACAAGAGGACAGTGATGCCCCTGTAGACCAGTGTAGTGACTGAGGAAGGGCAACCATTAGGAGCATACGGATAAAATGACTTACAGGATGCCTGATCCCCATTGGTCTTCAGGGCAATGTCGTTTCTCTCCTGGCGACCCTTGGTTCCGGAAACTTCCTCCATCTTGTGAATTTCAGACAAGCAGAGCTTGGGATTGTAGTGGAAGAAGAGCTTGCCCTGAGTGATGGTGAGATTGTGTTTGCTCCAGTCCCACAGCTGCCGCAGGTTCTGGTTGTCCAAGGCATAGAAAGAGTAGTTCCTATGGAAGGAAGCACACACACACACACACACCTTGAGTCACTCACCAAGCTGTCTCCAACTCCAAGGGCAGGAGCCAGGCTTGGAGTCACTCTCCTTCAGTGCAACAACCCCAACCCAGCTACTTGCTTGATACAGACTCAATAATATAACACTCCTATTGAATCCCCCAGTGAGGGGCCGAGGGCCTGGCTCAGAGGTAGAGCTCCTCCCTAAAATCCCCCAGTGAGGGGCTGTGGGCATGGCTCAAGGGGTAGAGTGACAGCCTAGAATCATCCAGTGAGGGGCTGGGGGCTTGGGGGCGTGGCAGCCTAGAATCCCCAGTGAGGGACTGGGGGCGTGGCTCAGGGTAGAGTGACAGCCTAGAATCCCCAGTGAGGGGCTGGGGGTGTGACTCAGTGCTAGAGTCTTGCTTAGCAGGCATCAGGCACTTCATTCAATCCCCAGTAGGGGCAAACGAGAAGAAGAAAAGTAGGAGCAGAGGAGGAAACTGAATTTCGAAGGGGAAAAAGATTGAAGACAGAGGCGTCTGAGCTGAGCCCGGGGAAGAGCATAGTACCCTACTTCCCCTGACAGGTGTGAGGAAATACCTGGAGGCTGCAGGGAACAAAACCCTCTAGTCTAACTATATACCAGACCAAGAACAAGAATGTGCAGCTTCCCCAGACACTGGAGGAAGGAACTGTAGGTTAATATATGATGCCTACAGGCATTTCAAGATAGAAAGTTTTACTTTAGATCACATCAGCGACTTGATTACATTGGTCCTTTGAACAATTAGCAGCCAGGAACAGGAGAAGAATGAGGAAAGGGAAGCATCTAAACCCCTGTAGTGGAACACTGGAGCCATTCACTGTGTATGGCATGAATGGGCCACACATGGGCCATTCCAAACTATTTGGGAATTAGGAGGAAAAGGGGGTGGGGGACTGGAGACATAGCTCAGTAGGTAGAGTACTTGCCTAGTACTCAAGAGTTCCAAGTTCCAACCCCAGCATCACATATAACAGGAGGGGGAGACAGGAGGATCAGGAGTCCAAGGTCCTCAGCTACATAGCAAGTTCAAGGCTAGCCTGGGCTATATGAGACCAGGTCTCAAAAATAAATCATTCTCAAGTCTGCTCAGGTCACTCTGATTGGTGCACCCCCTAGACCTGCAAGCTCCTCCAGCCTGAGAAGTGACTAAATACATCAGATTATACAGCAGATGGTGATTAACACAGAGACCCACAACTGTTCAACATGCAGAGAATGAAAGATTACAGAGCTCTTATCTCTCAATAGGAAACCTGTGTCAAACTTCTGCCTCCTAAGGCTCAGGGATCTTTGCAGAAGAGGGGGGGCAGAAAGATTATAAGAGCTGGAGGTGGTGGATGACCACAAGGAAACAGTTTCCCAGACAGCTGGTCAATTACTCATATGAACTCACAGCAATGGTGACAGCATGCACAAGTCCCATGTAAACTAAAGCCAGTCAAAGTCCCAGCATAGATGTGGGAAAGTGGGTAGGAAACCCCAGTCCTAGCTGATGAACTACGGGCAACTGACTGCTGCTGGAAAGGGGAGTCAATCTCTTTTAAAGGTGTTACTCCTGGTAGGTTAACCAGGCTAAAGTGGATGGACCCACACCAAAGGACACTTGGGGATACAAGTTTTACTCCATAGACCTTTATATGCAAGAAATCAGACAGGGCATGATAAGAATGGTATAAAGTGGAGAAGGGTCTAATATGATCAAAATGTATAAAATTCACAAAGATTCAGGCTAGAGAGATGGCTCAGCAGTTATAACAGAGCACTGACTGCTCTTGCAGAGGACCAGGGTTCAAGTCCCAGCACCCACATGGTGGCTAACAACCATCATCTGTAACTCCAGTTCCAGGGGATCCAACGCCCTCTTCTGACCTCTGTGGGCACTGCATGACACAGGTGCACTTACATGCAAGCAATACATTTATACACATAAAGTAAATAAAAAATATTTTTTGATTCCCAAAATTCAATTAAAAAATAAACAGCAATATACAAATAAACATATAAAAATACACATAAATAAACACACATGGATTTTAAAGACCAGAGAAAGGGGGCTGAAAACGATCTGCGTGTTTTATTAATGATTCTACATTTTAGTAATATTTTAGATATGAAGGGCTAGGTAAAATGCATAAATAAAACTAACCTCGCCTCCCCGTCATTTAATATTTTTCAAAATATGGCAACTGGAATGTAAGTCTCATAAGTGATTTGAATTATAATTGTATTGGCTAGCTGTGGTCTGCCTCCAAATAGTCTAGGCAGGAAGGATTGGGAAAACCTAAACAAAAGGCCTGAGCTTAAAAAGGTGATTTTGTAGCAAAAAAAAAAAAATGTTAATTTTGCAGGAGAAAAATCAGATGGGTGTTTCAAGAAGATGATCTAAGGGGCATGAATGGTTCTCACAAGCCTTTGAAGCCTTCTTTTCAATCACCTTCCTCAATTACAGAGGCTATAAAAGATAGTGGCTTTTTCCTACCCTCCTTACGGCTGGCTAGCACAGCCACGTGACCAGATCTTACAGTACAACAGAAGTAGAAATCAAGGTTGAGGGTGGGGTGGGGGGTAAAAGTATGAGAGGTTCAAAGCAAGTTTGCTTGGTTTTGTGTTGTGCTGCTTTAAGACCAAATGCTGAGCATGGCCTTTTTTCCCTTCCCTCACTTCCTGTCTGTTCTACAGGTGTGAGCCTGGGGAGGAGGCAGCAATTTAGTAATCACAAGGCGCACAGCGTCAAAGAAACTCAATTCTTGATAGCATTTCTGGATGGTCTTCCTCAGACTCCTTGCTCTCTACTTATTCAAAACATAACTGACCTGGATTTGTATTTGTTTGACTAACAAGGCAGGGTCAACTCTGAGGAGACCAGAAGACAGGAGAATCCCAGAAACAAGGACGGATAATGGGGTAAGAACACTTGTGCCTGAGGTTCGGAGGTCATCTGAGGTAAGCTGTAGACAGGCTTGGGGGGTGGGGGTAAGGAGGGAAGTCAGGGCTCAAGATTTCAGCACAGAGAGAGCAATATCCCAAGTTAAAGGCCATGGCTGGGAGCCCAGGTTTGCCGCCTGGGAAGGAAAGCAGAGTGAAAGGGAAATGAGGGGAAATTTTGAGGGTGGCTGGGAAGACAGCGTGAAGATAAGGCCTCTCAGGGGCCAGCAAAGATACGCAGCTCAACAAGGCACAGTACAGTCTCCATCAGGGAACTGTGAACCAAAGTTCCTGGAAAGAGCAACACCTTACACTAAGCCTTCTGCAAGGACAATCAACTAATTAGAACTTCAATGATTTTGGAGAGTTTGGGATGTTCCAGGTCCAGAGCCTAATTATAATTTATCTTGGGCTATTTTTAGCCCCCTTAAAATAGCTATTCCTCCTTCACCTGTGTCTGACCTAACATCTTGTGACTAACAGGTGAAAGCTTTTGGAATGTATTAACAAGACTACTAGCTTCTACCAACCAAAAGGCTAAGAGTATTGTCGAAGTCTGGAGAGCTGTCTCAGTGGTTAAGAGCGTTGGTTGCTCTTACAGAGGACCCCAGTTTGGTTCCCAGCATCCACATGACAGCTAACAACCAACCTTAAATCCAGCTCCAGGGGATCTGACACCCTCTTCTGGCCTCCATGGGCACTGCACAAAATGGATGCACTTATGTGCAAGCAAAACACACATACACATAAAATATAGTGTCATCAGATAGCATCTGAGGCTTACAGCTATTTCTCCCCTTTGCTGTAACCCAACTACCTGATGTTTCCACCAGTATTTTTGAAACGTGTCTTGATTTTTTTTCTTTGTTCTGTTACTATAAAACTCCATAAAACTATTAACACATTGGAATATGGAACTTGGGGGTAACTTGAACTTGTGTCCTGGGCTGTGGTCACTCATATCTGCCTCCAAAATAGTCTCCTTATCAACCCTTTGAGGTAAGAGCTGTGATTTTTTTTTTTTCAACAGAACCAACACTGGAGAAGTTTCTAGATAACTAGATTTCTTGCCTGGATGGACATTAAGGCACATTCTAAGACTTTCATCTAATAGATGTTTCATTTTGGGTCTTAAAAAGAAAAATAAAATTGCCAGATGTGGTGATGAATGCCTTTAATCCCAGCACTCAAGAGGTAGAGGCAAGCATATCTCTGTGAGATTCAAGGCCAGCCTTGTTTACATAGTGAGTTCCAGGCCAACTGGGACTATAGGAAGACCCTGTCAGGAAAAAAAAAAAAGACAAAGAAAATAAAATCCCTAAGTTTTTCTTTAGTCTAGGGGTGGGGGGTGTGCTCACAGGGGAGCACAGGGTACATATGTACATATGTACAGGTCAGAGGACAGCTTCAGCTGTCATCCCTGTTCCTCATACTTTACCCTGGTTGACAGAGACAAGGTCTCTCAATGGCCTGGAACTTGCTAAGAAGGCTAGGTTAGCTAGCCATTAAGCCCCAGGGATCCACCTATCTCTGCCTCCCCAGTACTGGGATTACAAGCGTGCTTTTTTTAAAAACCTGGGTTCTGTGGCTCAAACCCAGGTTCTGTAGACCAAACCCAGGTGTTTATAAGTTTGCAAGGCAAGCACTTTCTGCACTGAGCCATTTCCCCAGTTCCCAAGTTTTTCTAACTCATGAATTTCCTAGTTGGCTACCATACAGTATCAAGCTCACATACCCAATTTCCAAGGTCTCTCCTCGAATCAGACGTAGCTTTCGGAAGAAAGAAAGTGATACCAGAGCATACGATCGGCGGATCTTTAGGAACCCTGAAATTTCTTCGATGAGGCCAAGGTTAGCCTCCAGTTCAGCTGCCAAGTTGTCTATGGGATAAAACGAACGCCTGTGAGCAGCAGAAATATCTTATCCATCCCATAACATGTGTGTGATATATGCACATGTGTATGTATGGTGTGTGTGTGTGTGTGTGTGTGTGTGTGTAGGCTCCTGTCTGCCTGTCATCCCAGCACTCAGAAAGTTCTATGGGATAAAACGAACGCCTGTGAGCAGCAGAAATATCTTATCCATCCCATAACATGTGTGTGATATATGCACATGTGTATGTATGGTGTGTGTGTGTGTGTGTGTGTGTGTGTAGGCTCCTGTCTGCCTGTCATCCCAGCACTCAGAAAGTGGAGGCAGGAGGATCAGAAGTTCAAGGTCATCCTTGACTACATATCAAGATTGAGGCTAGCCTGAACGTCAGCAATAGAGTATGCTATTGGCCACTTTTGCTGGATGGCTTCAGTTGCCAACGTGACCCACTTGGGAAGCAGGGACCTCAAACTGGGAAATTTCCTCTATCAGACTGGCCTGTGGGCGTGTTATGAGGCATTTTCTTGATCTTTGAGTGATGTGGGAGGGTCCAGCCCATTGTCAGTGGTCTACATAGTGAGTTCTAGGCCAGCCAGGGCTACATAGAAAGACACTGTCTCAACTCCCTGAACCTCCCGCTCCACACATATATTCCTGGTGCACACTGGAAAATAATTTATGGCAAAGGAATGTATTTCAGGTTTTGAGACAAATTCTGGTATGATTGTCCTAATGAGGGCCACTGAATGATGCTCCTTTTTGTTTGCTTGTTGTGTTGTTTTGCTTCTTTAGACAAGGTCTCATTGTGCTGCTCAGGCTAATCTAAAAGTAGCTTTAAGCAATCCCCTGCCTCAGCCTCAGGAGTAGCTGGGACTACAGTAATGTACGATGCCAGTGTACCTGGATGAATGTGCAATAAGTGAGGAATGTGTGGGAAACCGTGGGCTGTGTTCCTTCCTGGCTCACAGCTGACAGGAAATGTGGAGCACCTCCTGAGAGTACTCACTGCCCCCTCGAATGTTGATGATCAGGCTGCCATTGACCACAGTGCAGCCTCGAAGCTCCTGAGCAGATGTTACTGAATCGATGGTCTTCTCGCCTTCAAGGATTTGACAGACCTTAGGACATGGTCCCAGACACGGGGTGCACATCAAGCTGAAGATGAAGCAGAGAAAAGGGGGGTCAGTGTACATGGAGTTCATTCACTTCCCCCAGCTTGGCAGACAGCAGGATTCACAATGACCCAGTGGCAGAGGCAGATTTACTCCTTTACCTTAAAGTGAGGTGTTCTGGGCTCAACATTTGTCCCAGTTAGCTTCAGCTGTCAACTTGACACAACCTATAGTCATCTAAGGGCAGGCAGCTCCATTGAGGGATTAACTAGATCAACTGGCCCATGGCCATGTCTACAGGAGATTGTCTTGATTGTTTGATTGATGTAGGAGGGTCCAGCCCACTGTGGGCAGCACCATCCCTAGGCCGGTAGTCCTGAGCTGTGTAAGAAAGCTAGCTGAGCATGAGCCAGCAAACAGTGTTCCTCCACAGCCTCTGCTTCAGTCCCTGCCTCAAGTCCCTGCCCTCACTTCCCTCAGTGATGGACTGTGACCTGAAAGTATAAACTAAAATAAACCCTTTCTTCTCCAAAGTTGCTTTTGGTCAGAGTGTTTTATCACAACAGAAAAGTGACTAATACATACTCCTGATATTTGAAGATAGATTTGTCTTCACAGTGGTTTTGAGGTCTGCAGCATTACTAAGCCATGCATATTACAGTTTTATTTGAATAAATAATCAGCTTATTCAGTGTTAGTTTTAAAAGCTAAGGGTGGCCAGCCATGATGGTGCATGACTTTAATCCCAGCCCACTGTCAGTGGTCCACATAGTGAGTTCCAGGCCAGCCAGGGCTACATAGAAAGACACTGTCTCAACTCCCTGAACCAGCCTGGTCTGCATAGTGAGTTCCAGGTCAGTTGGGGCTGTAGGGAGACCCTGTCTCAAAAAGACAAAATAAAAAAGAGTGGACCCAAACTCTAAGAGTTTGTCCCTTCCAATCTCTTACAGAACTGTGCTTCCTCAGCCATGCCTCACCCATACTTTTACTCAAAACTATTTCTCTAGCATCAATTGGGGAACTACCAACTTTGATCCACCCTTATCAGAGAATCTTGCCTTTTGATCACTAGACATAAAATATCACATACATACAATGTCAAACATACTTCACAAGTCTTGTGGAAATGACTTTTATAAATGGACATAATATGGACTTCTGACTTTTAATTAACCCCAGTAAAACCATATGTTCTTGTGTCTTGTGACTTTAGCAGCTGATCTTGTTTCCTAGGCAAACTCAATTTGATACTCCACCCAAAAAGATAATAAATGAATGAATGAATGAATGAATGTGGGCATGTTGAGGATTAACATATCAAAGCACTAAAAGATGATGTCCCACCTCCAATGGATCCAGTGGAGATTGGGAAGGACATGTGACCTTCAATGAATATCTATTCTGGAATATCTGTTCTAGAATATTTATTCTAGAACAAGGCTGGATATAAAAAGGCTGGATGGTCTGTTAAGATTTGAGTGGAGTCAAGCTTGTATTTCCCCAATAGAAGCCGTAGAAGCCATTTTGAATAAAATTATGGGTGGGGCTGGACTCAGAAGATAGTTCCAGAAAAAGAGTTCCATCTAGCAGTTCAAGGAGACAGAGGGTTCTGAAAGATTTCTAGGGGAACAAGTATCCTCTGAGTTTGGATTCACTCTTAAAAACTAAATTTAAGAGCCCGGAGAGCTGGCTCAGTAGTCAAGAGCACTAGCTGCTCTTGCAGAGGACCCAGGATTGGTTCCTAGCACCCACATGGCAGCTAACAACTGTCTGTAACTCCAGTTCCAGGGGACCTGACTCCCTCTTCTGACCTCCAAGGGCATTGCATGACATTGGGGCATTTACATACATACAGGCAGTACACTCATACACATAAAAATAATAAATAAAATGTTTTTTAAGAAAAAAAACAACTAAATTTAGGCTGGGCATGGTGGCACACACCTTTAGTCCGAGCACTCAGGAGGCAGAGGCAGTCAGATTTCTGTGAGTTCAAGGCCAGCCTGGTCTACATAGTGAGTCTCAAAGAGACCAAAAAAAAAAAAAAAAAAAAAAAAAAAAAAAAAACTAAATTTAAGAGTTAGGTGTAGGGGGCTGGAGAGATGACTCAGCAGTGAAAAGCACCAAATGCTTGTGTTCAGTTTCCAGCACCTACATGGCTGCTAACAGCTGCTATAACTCCAGTTCCAGGGGATGTGACGCTGCCTTCTGACTCCCTGGGCATTGCATGACACAGGTGCACTTACATACGTGCAGGCAATACACTCATACACATAAATTTTTTTTTTTTTTTAAAAAAGAGGTGCAGTAATGCCTCAAATTCTCACGACTTCCAATGAGGATATGACTACTAACAGGCTGATCCCAGTGCTCTGATACATTAATGCAAGCACACCCACATTCATTCTCTATTTTGGGTGGAGGGCAAAGTGAGGTCTGAAGGGATCAAGGGCAGGTGCACAGGTCACAAGAGCACATGGCTCAGTGAACTTGTTTGCAGCAGCTTTTTTTAGACCAGATTCTGTCCATATTGTAAGACATTCCTACAAGGGTTTGTGAACATTACAGGATGCAGAGCAGGACCCTTGAGCTGCATCTGTTTAACACCAACAGCAATCTGTGTCTGAGTTGCAACAACCCAAAATGTCCCCACATACTCCTAAATGTCCCCCACATAGTTAGGACAGCCCATTACCCTCAGATAAAAATCAGTGCCCAGGGTTTGTGAGATGGCTCAATTGGTAAGAGGGCTTGCTTCACAAGCATGAGGACCAGAGTTGGATCCTCAGAACTAACATAAAAACATCGGGCATTAAGTGGGCAAGATAGCTCAGCAGGTAAAGGACTTGCTGCCAAGCCTGATGACCTGAGTTCAATCCCCAGAAATCCATGTTATGGAAGGAGCGAACTGATTACTGTAAGTTGTCCTCTGACCTCTACATAGGTACCATAGGTCTCATGTAGAGGTCATAGGACAACTTCCAGGAGTCCTCTCTCTTTCCACCATGTGGCTTCCTGGGACCTGGTGCAAGTTTCTGGACTGGGCGCAAGCACCTTTACCTAACAGGCAGGCACCTTAACCTGAGGAACCATCCTGTACCACCACTCCTGGCTGGGACCAACTATGCAATCAGACATATGAGACATTCATAGTACATGTCTTCCAGGGAGAGGAAAGGCAGCTAAAGATGGAGCTTCAGGGCTGGAGAGACAGTGCAGTCAGTAGGCAAGCGTGAAGACCTCAATTTAATCTCCATTATCCACATTTTTCGAAAAAAGTAGTGTGATGGTGCATGTTTGTAATCCCAGATCTTGGGAGATGGGGACAGGTGGATCACAGTCATGTTGGCCAACTAGCCTGCTTGGCAAGCTCCAGGCCAGTAGAGATCTTGTCCCCAAAAAGCAAATAAGATGGATGGTGCCTGAGGGTGACAACCAAAGTTGACCTCTGATCTCTATACACAGGTACCCACACATATGTGCAACACCCCCACACACAAAACAAAAAACTGTGCAGTTCCATCAACCATGCCTACAGAAAGAGACCCTGAAGGAAACTGCATGAGGCTGGGAAGGTGGGTCAATGGTAAGAGTGCTAGCTACACAACCATGAGGACCCAAGTTCAAATCCCCAGCACCCATATTTTTAAAGAATTAAGTATGTGGCAGCATGCCAGTAACCCCAACACTGGGGGGAGGAACAGAGACAGGAGGATCTTAGGTCTTGCTGGTCAGCAGCCTAGCTCCAGGTTCAGTGAGAGACCCTGTCTCAAGGGAATAAGGTGAAGAGACATAGAGCAGGACACACCACATCCTTCTCTGGCCTCTGCACAAGCACACATTGGCACCAGCACATGCGCAATCACACACACACATTCATGCATGCACACACACACTCACAAAAGTACACACATACACATACAAGCACGCACGCACACATGCACACATTCATGAAAGTACATGCATACAGGCACGCACAAATGTATGTACACACATTCACATAGACATGTATGCACACAAAACAGTCACACACATTTTCACATGTGCACATTCATCATGTGCACACACATACACTAGATAAATATATAAGCACACAAACACACATGCATGGCCACACATGCACACAAAAAGACATTCACACACACATTTTCACATGCACACAAACACAAGTTCACACATGCACACTCATGCATGCACACACATGCATATATTCACAAATGCACACACTCAAATGTGAATGCAGACATACACATATTCAAGCACACACATATGCACATTTGCACATAAACACACATATTTATTCATGCACAAACACATGCCCACATATGTGCACATACTCACATATCACATGCATGCACCCAAACACATACACATACATGCACACACATGCAAGCACACAGCATATAAACATGCACATATGTACACAAACATGAATGCACTTATACACACTCATGCATGCATAGTCACACATGCACTGCCCTCACAAACGCACACACAAACATCAATGCACATACTCACATGTGCATATTCACACACTCTTGCAGGCATACTCTCACATATACACAGTCATGCATGCATACAAACACATGTTCACCCATACACACACTTATGTATGTACACACATGCAGGCACCTTTCACACAGACACACATGCACACACTCATGCATGCACACAGACACGCATGTACACGCATGCACATATACGCTCATGCACACACACATATACACACATACTGATGTTTCTCTGTGTGTCTTCTGGTTTTAAGTCCTTCTACTGAAGTCTCAATCCCAGCTCCTACACTGATAAGCAGCCAGGAGTCAGATCAGAAGTTGGGTGTTCTTGTTGGGGACCCCTGCTGTGTAGGGTAGCAGTCTCCCCATGTCCGGATAGCCACAAGCTGGCTCGGCGCGAATGGGGAGACTCCTCAGCAGGGCGCCTTCTGCTCTCCTCCCTGACTTACTTTTGAAATGCCCGTCACAAGATACATGCCCTCCGGCACAGGAGCTACCAGGTTTTAATCAGGCGTTGTCTGATAGCCTGATA